AGCGAACTCCTCTGTAGCCTTTCGTATGCCTCTGTTCTTCTGCAGATGACCTTCGTATACTTGGATGAGTACACGGTGTGAGTTTGAGCACTCGAAACAACTCTCGTGTGGAGATACAGTTCTCCGAATCGTTACCGGGATTTTTGTGGTTCTCTTCACAATAGCACTGTATCACTCGGATCAACCTATCTTACTCAATTTTTGAAGTTAGAAGCTTGCACTGATACTCAGAGATGCGGCTAGATGTCCTCTATCGATTGATGTATGGGACCTCTTGCTTGCAACGCCTGTGTCGCGACTTATCTTGATCGCCGTTCGATGGCTTCTGCTCGTTGTGATGAGACGGACGAAAATCTCGTTCCTTGTGCCTTTTCGCGCGATTGAAGATAACTCACTGGATAAGAGGACTTACGCGATGGTGACAGTAGCGAATCCGTGTGGAATCTTCCGCTTGATCACCTGGTGTACGTAGATCTTTCCAGTTCCGGCCGGAAACTGTTGGTCGATCTGTACGTGTAGGTGTGACTGACGATGGGATTTTCTTCCCGCGCGCACCTCTTTCCTGTTAGATGCCTTTCGATGCTCTTATAGTGTAGCTGTGTGCAGTATTTGCGCACCTCTCCTCTGTTGCAGGTGTTAACTCAATACACTTTGACTCAATACACTTTGACTTGATATGTTTTACCTTGATATCGATCTCGAGATCGGTAGTAGCTCGAGATGGCCTTTTGCTTTTCAGTGTTAGCTAGTAATACTGCAGCTTATTGGGGAGTAATTTGGTTTTAGATTAAGCTGAAAAGCAAAAGTGAGGATTTTCTGGTGGTGCATAGCAATTCTTGTGATTGAATTGGATATAAGGACCCCCGTAGCACTTTAGACCTAAAACTCCCTTGGTTCCTTGCATGATGAATTTACATGCGAACCGGACTAGATGATTAACACACGAGTCAATAGTAAAGAGGTGTCAGGTATGTTTCCTCCAACAATTACGCAGCAGCTATCTAAAGCACGTATATATTCTGGGAGCCCATGGCAGTAAGTATTAGCTATTTGCCAATCAAGTGACAGCCCTTTTGCTATTTCTATTTCCGTGGTTGGCGCCACCGGAGGCATCTTGTTGCTAGGAAAACTGAAAATCAATAATTGAGGGGAAACACAACACCCAAGAGCAAACAGGTCTAGCTAGTTGTAGTGGTCCCGGCTGCATATGCTCACATTGCAAGTTGCCGGACCCAGCGATCGGGACCGTCCCAGACCGGAAGGGAGGAGGGACCCGCATATGCCAAAAAGCATCAATACACATACCCAATTTGGGAACTACCCTTTTGAGGCCATTTTTCTGTCTAGAGTGATCTGGGCTTTAAGACCGACCGAATCCCGCAATATTATCTTCAGGGCTGTATATGGAATATAGTACATGTAAAGAGGGGAAACGATAGAACACATGTAGTTGAGTATGCCATAAATCTCGCAACTTCATAGTGTACTTATTGGTGGAGTTACGGGCGGTTGAAGATTTCAGACTTCTCTCCGTCAATTCTTTTTCTCTGCAGATTAAGACCATATGACGTCACACGTAGCCTCTGGTACTGAACCTACGTAGGATCCTACTGTACGGTGCCGTGCTCTATCGAGTAAAAACTAGAGGGCTCTGTAGGGCTCCGAAGCACATGATAGGCACCTCTATTGAAGCACCTCTATCACACTCCTTCTTCCTCTTGGATACATACTCCGTACCTCTATGGTTCGAAGCACCTCCTCAATCGTTCGAAGCACCTCTTGTCTACCTATTGACACTCCTTCCTTCCTCTACGATGCTGCTTATCGACACTGCTTCCTCAATCGACACTGCTTCCTCTACCAGTATCGACACTGTCAACACTGTTAACACTGTCAACACTCAACACCACCACACGGCTTGAGCAAGCAATGGACAGTTCAAGATGCACAGATGCATACCAGTAGTGGCTCACCAACTGGCTAGCTAGAGTAGCTAGCTAGTACATGTAGTACAGTAGCTAGCCAGGTCGTATGTACTGTTACTATAGCAATTACTGTACAAATCCAAGAATATTATGATGGTCTTAATCTGTAGCGGGTCTTATAGTGCAGATCACTCTATAGTGAAAGTGATTTCCTTCACTTGATGGTTGCCCTTACTAACTCTACTAACTGAGATACTCCTTCCTTTGACTTTTCAGCCGATCGATCTTGTTGGGTGATTTGTTAAAAAGAGTCTGAAGCCAACCCTAACCGCAACGCCAGACGACAAGGACAAGTTGAAATGTGTCAGAATCAAGTCAGAATCGAGGATGCCAGAGTGGGGCTATTGTAGATCATAAAATGTATTTATATCTAGATACAGTTTAACAACATGTCGGGTGTGATTTGATTGGCTCAGAGGGTTCTGAATCAATCGTACTGCGTTTCTATAGTAAAACATGTCGGAAGCACCAACTTCAACACGACATTTTGCCAAAATGTCGGGCAAGCCTGCCGGCACACCACATGTTTCCCTTCTTTGAGTACTGCTAGCTCGAAGCCGTTGAGTCATTGAAAATAGCTTGACATCCTCACTGATCAACATGTCGTGTGTCCTTGGTCGTTGCCGTTAGTGCACTACGTTAAAAGCTAGTGTTAAGATCTTTCGAGTGTTTTGAGTTTGAGAGAATTTAAATTATAAGAAAGATTAGAAAGCTATGAAAACTCATCAACGAGAGAGATAATCGTCCTGAAGATCGAAGATCTATACTTCCACGGGAGGGACTCTGACATTGCCATTCCAGTTCTCCACAATATTAATGTCCCATTCCTCCTGGGCTTTGCACCAGAATCCCAACTTGTGACCACTGATCTCGCCATTCTTAAGAAACCAGGTTGCTACGAGGCTGAAAAGATGCGGTTTATCTTTCTGCTCGACACCTACTTCAATATGAATTGCAAGCGATTGGGACGCATCATCATGGTGCAAGCAGACAACCTGAAGGTGATCTCCGAGGAACAGTACAGAAACCGCAAAGGGAGACATTGCATCGACAACGGCCTGAACTATGTGCTGCTGGTGGACATATCGAGATTGAAACGATGGGCGATGGCATTGATCCCTTTCGATGCCTCGCAATGCTATGATCGGATCAACTATGTGCCAGACATCCTTGCTGGCCGTGCCATTGGCATTCCAAAAAGCACGACACAGTACCGCTTCGGAACCTACCAGGAAACCACACACCACGCCTCCACAGCGTATGGCATATCCAAGCAAACCTACGGTGGCCCGCAACAGCAGGCTCTTGGACAGAAACCACTTGGAGGGCAGGGACAGGGTACAGGTGACGCGGGTAGCTGGGCAGTGCTGATCTTTGCCTTCATGGTCAATATCGTCCGCACACTTGGGCTTTCACTGGCTCTGCTGAGCCCTTTCACCCGGAAGTTGACCTCCCTCATTGCCCTCATCTTCATTGATGACTACCTCGCCAACATTGGCGCCATCCACCAGTACATGACAGGTGAAGAATTGCTACCCAGGGCTCAGCAAGCAGCAGACATGTGGGAAGGCCTCTTGTGGGCCACGGGAGGAGCAATCAATCAAAGTAAGTCCTATTGGTACCTCCTAGACTACAAGTGGAATCCTGCCACTGCCAAGTGGAATCCTGCCACTGCCAAGTGGAACTACCAAACCAAGTTGGATCTCTCCAAATTATGCTGATTCTTAATTAAGAATCCTCTATGGAAATATTCTAAATCTTGGGAATATAGTCAAAATCAAGAAAGAGTCCATTTCAATGGTTTTGGTAAGCACTGCTATATCATTACAAGGCTTGTCTTATCAGCAAACATTGTTGTTGGTTAGCAGATAGTATCAGGGGATAGCATTGCTAGCTATGAAGTGCATATTGCTAGCATAATAGGTTGCATAAAGGGTGCCTGGTGATTCTTAAGAATCAGAAAGAAACAAAATGATTCTTGAGAATCCCCATTTTCCAGATTCCTCGCACCAGATCGTTTTGCTGTGCCTTTTGCCCCATTCAATTTTTGTCCCAGGCCTTGTCTCGCAGCTGAGTATTGTAGCTGTCTTTGAACTACTTGCAGTAAACAACTTGAAGGTAGGTAGCGAGCTAGCTGTGAAAGAGAGCCAACTCCTTTTGGTTGCTCCGCCTTTTCTGCATTGGAACCGGCACCACTCGATCCCCCGCACAGTCAGTCCCAGCCCAAGCTCGCAGCTAAGTAGCTGATCTTTGAACTACCTGCCCTTAATAACTTTGAAGGTAGCCAGCTAGCTGTGCAAGAGAGCCAACTTTTTTTGGCATCAGGCTGATTGCGCCAGAAATTGTAAATGTCTGTAGTTTTGCCAAGCAAGTCAGTACGTATTGCAGAAACAATGACTACAAGATTATGAAGGAACTGAACCGGGCATAGCTCCACTGTTTGTTGTTGATGATTCTTGCTCGAAATTCATAGTCGCCCCCAGGTCGAGGAGGCCAGACGTATTGTTGCTCATGTTCGTCTGCCCGAGAATGCTTCAATGCACAGCAGTCATTCATGCAGTTCACTCCGGTAACTTTGACTAGATTGACCTCCATCTCGATCATCCCAAACACCGGGTCTGTGGACAGCTCCCATACATTCTTTTGGATGTCACCATTTGGGCAGTGTCCCCAATCGCCTACAGAAGGATGACAACGTGCTACTCAGCTGACATTCAGAACATCGGCAATAGGCCACAATTTTCCTGGTCACTTACATTTTGCCATACAGATGAAGATCCACCCGTGAGTCTTTTTGGTGTCAAACTCCGTGTAGTGCTTTTGCTCAGATGGATTAGGGAAAGGTACGATGCGCCAGGATTCCTGGCTGGTGATCAAGAAGTAATCCTTGTAATCAGCGTTGATGAGTTCATCACAGACCTGGTGTTCGTCATCCTTCATGCCAATGACCATGTACCCCGGTTGCCGGATGTTTGGGAAGGCATTCGGTACCTTGCCCGAGTTGGGATCTGGGGATTCTACGGCTACCACCTTAGTCTGAAACGCTCCAAATTCATAGTTCTGGTCGACTACGTTGCCTACCTTATTGGGGTTCTCCGTCAAGAGTCCCTGAAAGCGAATCTCTGCAGGTAGCATGGCTGTGTGACAGAACGTGGGTTCTTTGATGAGCGTTTGCAACGGAAGGTGCTGCATGGCGTTCTTATTCTCTTCCTTGTGATCCCCCTTCCACAAGAGGTTGAAGTAATTCAGTACTACTTCGGGCACGGGTTGCTGAAAGATGTTTTCGTAGTCCGCTTGTTCGGCTGCATCTAGCTTTTGGAGCAGAGCTTGTAGTCGAGTCTGCTTCTGTTCCAATGTTTCTGGTGTGGTTGGTTCCTGTTGGACGAGATCTTCCAATGCCTCCGTAATCACCTGTAGGACGGTAAAGGCCATCATGTGACCCACCAGCGCATGGTACTTCCAGCCTTGTAGATAGATAGATGCACGCCAGAGCACGCGATGTGTGAGCCAACCACCATCGAAAAGCGGGATCGTGACGCACAATTTTCGATTTCTTTGACCTACATACGTACCTGGATGCCACGATGTCCTGGCATGTCGGTTGTTGCACATGGTTTTATTGAATTTGTCGTCCCCACATCCCGGGTCCCCCGACTCGACCTTTTCCTCGCATTTGAAGTATTTGACGTAAAGTGGGAGGTCATTGATCTGCGCATCGTTCATGCCAAACATGTCCGGGAACCCTGGATATATCTTTTCCCGTTCGTATCGTAGATCCATGCCCAGGACCGTCATGCCATCTGCGGAACCAAGCAATCACCCGTCAGAACACGGCAGAAACGAGAAAGGGAAACGTGTGAGACGACCGAGGGGAAGGGACGGATGACAAGAACGAAATGAAATCGTAGTGCATCGCCACTTACTCATTTGCATATTTCGGAGTACAATGTTGTGTTCGTTTTCATTTTGGTGAATGGCAATGAGGGACGGTCTATGTCGCACATTCCCCGGCTGCGAGACACTATCCTCTACCAATGCGAGTCTTGCTGCTCTGTACGCATACAATGCAATTTTGTAGTGGTCACCTCCATCCGTCTGGTCTCCACGAGAAATTTTAAAAAAGAGAAAAGAGAACCGAAATCAGCACGGCAAAACGGAACGTATTCCACTGTGTTTTCGGATCGCCTTGTATTTGTACGCACCATTCCAAAATCCCAGGAAATGCTGTCGACGTCCCTTCCAAAGAGACTATTAAAGCAGAGTGCGACTTCTTCTCCCGATGCGGTGCCCCCCATGGCATAGTTTTTGACTTGCCAATCAAGTCCAATTTCTCGTAGTATAGGTTGTAAATCTCGTCCCAAATTGGCCGTGTAGGATTCGTGATAGAAATTTCCGTGTCCGGCGGATGCGGAATGTCCTCCACAGACCCAGACGAATTTGGCGTAGCTCCACGACGATGAAGAAGACGAGCAAGTTGTTTGTTGTTGACAGTACTCTTGTGGATTGAGTTGTTGGGCAATCATGGCGAGTTGTACTTGGAGCAATTTGATTTGGTATTTTCGAATCATTCGTTGCCATGCTACTGAAGGTGTGGACTCGTCATCAATGGTGTATCCGGACGGTGCATGTAGCTTGTTAGGATCTTTAAATGCCCGCTGATTGCCGACATGAACTCGTTGTCCATTTTCTTCGTCCAGTGGTTCAAAAATGTCTTGATAGTACTTTCCATAATCGGTCTTGAGTTTTTGGTCAATCCATTGCTGACGGAATTGTTGGAGGCGTGCCAACATGTTTTTGGCCTGTGTGAGATCTAGTCCCTCAAATTTTGTTTTGTCCTTGGCACTGGCAGTGCATTGTTCTTGACAATTTTTATTGGATGATTGGTTTTCAGGAGTCATTTTGGCTGGTCCAGGCTTGGGTGAAGCTGGTTCAGTAGGGGCTGGAGTGGTCTTGGGGGCTTCAGGCTTGGCTGGTTGAGGCTTGGCAGGTTCAGGCTTGCTAGTGGCTTGTTCTTGAGTGTCACTGGCAGCGTCACTGGCAGTGCCAATGCTAGCACTTGCAGCGTCATTGGTACCAGTCCCGCTGCCGCTGCCGCTGCCACTTGAATCTATACCATTACTACCAGTGATTCCAGTGTGTATCTTGAGCTGCACTTCTCCAGATTCCTGATCCCATTCGAGCGATTCCCAGACCAACAAGACCAGGCAGCCCACCAAGATGATTCCCACCAACACCTTCAATCGACCATACAATCCAGTACTACTAGGGGTAGCACCACTAGCAGATACCAAAGTTGCCGTTTCCTCTTTCTTCAATCGAGGGGAAGATGTAAACACTTTCTTCACCATGGCTCAGCGTCAGGTTCATGGCAAGGTCCAGCAAGAAGTAGAGGAACAGTACTCGTACGATGTACCACCATGGTCGAATCGAATCGAATCTTCAGTCTCGATATCACCCGAACGACGTCTCGCCCGACCCCCGACAGCAGGTGTGGCGAGCGGGGAGAGCAAGGGTGACGTTAGTGGGGGCGCTCACTTGGCCGGTCGTGCCCTCGGCTTGCCCTCGGTCCGTCTACAGTTTAAGTCCCAGGCCTACTAGCTACTCCAAGTAGTAGCTAGTCCATGAGTAGCTGATCTTTGCCACTTTGGAGTAAACAACTTGAAGGTAGCTAGTTAGCTGGCTGTGCTAGCTAGAGAGCCAACTTCTTTTGGCGTAGGCTGATTGCGCCAGAAATGGAAAATGTCTGTACCGGTAGTTTGCCACCCAGCCATGATTACTTGGAGATGATGTTTTGTGGGTACGTTCCATGCACGTGTGTATGTTGTATGCGTGAGATTCGATTCCTTACGCTACTCATTATCGACAGCAGAGTACGGCCATGATAGAGTACTAGCTAGCTAGATCCCCCGAATAGTCAAGGCAGCTCAGAGCCCATTCCATCATTACTGGGGACGTACTACAGGACACAAGTCAAAAGTCTACAGTAGGCCAAGATACGCAATGTGCACAATTACTCCCATCTCGCTAGCGCTCGGAGCTGCTAGTCAACTTCCAGCTATCGTAGTAATACGCAATTTACATGCTGCAGCTTATCCGCAGTGTTCATATACTAATAAGTAGAGGAGCCCGTGCATCCATTCCGTATACGTCTCGACCCTCCCACCTATGTTCCATCTCGCTTAATGCTCGAGCGGGAATGCGCGCACATCTCCTTCTCTCTCTACAATCCAAGCGACAAGCAGGCTCGACTCTAAGCTGTCCGACGACGGCGACGACCACCGGGTGCATCAGTTTCTTCACCTTCCGACGGTGCAACAGTTTCTTCAACGTCCGCCGGTTCCGTTGGTACAACTTCAGCCGGTTGGCTTGGTTCACCTTGACATGACGAACAACACGAACACTGCAAATCACAATCAACCATAAAGATCTGTGGCGCCAGGGCACACACTTCAGCTGGCACGCTGCCTTCAATATCTGTACTGGACAAGTATATTTCTTGCAACATGGTCATTCCTTGGTACTCCACGGGGACATTGCCAGAAAGAGGATTGAATTCCACATCCAACAGCTGCAGTTTGTTCAAGGCACCCCATGCAGGAGGAAGAACACCAGTGAAACGGTTGGAAAAGAGCTCGAGTCGAACCAAGTTCAGCAGCTTGGAGAAACTGCTTGGAAGCTCGCCAGTCAAGCCACTGAAAGGCTCTTCATTGGCATTGTCTCCCAACTTGAGGACAACAAGAGACTCAAGATTGCTGATGCTTTCTGGGAGCTCACCACGCAAAAAGTTGACAGACAGATCCAAGACCTGGAGGCGCGACAACTGTCCGACAGACTCAGGGATTTCACCAGTGAAAAAGTTGGTTCCAAACTTGAGTTCCTGTGCATTGGTCATTCCTCCAAGATTTGGTAGACCTCCAATCAAGGTGTTGTTGGTCAGGTCCAGGAACTCTGATATGTAAAGGAGGAATGAATCAAAAGAACAATGCATCATGAGCAACCATCTAGAGTAGCCTCCAAAGGGATGCAACACGCCACGTACCCAGATTTCGCAAGCTTCCAAGGGAAGCAGTCAAGTTACCCATCAATCCAGCATTGGCCAGGAGCAATTGCTTCAAGTTCATCAATGCATCCATGTTCTCTGGCAAGTTGCCACCCATTGCAATATTGTCAGACAGATTCAGCTCCTCCAGTTCATTGCAAAAGGTAATGTCTAGGGGAAAGCTCCTCAAAAAGTTGTTGGACAGATCAACAGTACGAAGACTCTGTAGGTTGCGCCAGTTAAAGTTGTTCAGGTCACCACGAAGCTTCAATCCAGGAAGTCGCAACTCTTCCAACTGTAGCCATTGGGAAAAGACATACTGAGGCAAAAAGTCGGGTTCCATCCGGGGGTTGTTTCCCAAGCGGGCCACCGTCAGGTTGCCTAGTTGTCCCAATGACTGAGGCATGGCAGGTCCCGTGAACAGATTGTCTTCCAAGTTCAATACGGTCAGCTGCCTCATGTTGTCTCCAATCTCATCGGGAATGGGTCCCTCAAACTTGTTGGCACCCAACACCAACTGCTGGAGATTGTTCAACTCAGTAATCTCAACAGGGATGGTGCCGTCCATGTCGTTGTCATAGACATCCAAGACGAGGAGTGAATCGGCCCAGACAGCAGGCAACGGACCAGTGAACTGATTCTTGAAGAGCCAGACTACTTGCAAGCTTCCCAATTGGGAAAGAGCAGTCGCGGGGAGTTCTCCCGTGAGCTTGTTGCCACCGGCAGTGAGACGAGCTGAAGGAATCATCAAGGTAAGTTGGGACAAGAGACGACGAATTGAAGGATGAGTACCGGTGCTTACACAAGCGTCAAGAACAGAACAGAATCAGATGAGACTACTTACTGAGTGCCGTCAATTGACCGACATCGTCGCTCAAGGGTCCCGTAAAGCCATTGTTATCAATCACCAACAATTCCAACCTGGCGAGTTTCCAAAGCGACGGGGGTAGATTTCCAAAGAAAGAGTTGCTACTGAGATCCAACAATGTCAACGTAGCCGCCAAGGGAGTGAAATCATACGACGACAAGTCTTGGGAGAGCAAGTTTCGGTCCAAGTAGAGTTCTTCGAGAGTGCTGAATTGCGTGAGCGTGTCTGGGAGGGCACCTTCAATGACATTGTCGGCCAAGTTGAGACTGGTGATAAAGGAGAGAAGCGCCAAGTCGGCAGGGATACGTCCCTGAACATTGTTTCCTTCCAAGTTGATTCTCGTGACGACTTGCACACTCGATCCGGTATTCTTGCTGACTGACGACGAGCTGTTTCCACCATCGGCTGCTGCGCCATCGGCAAAGTCTGCCACCAGAGTAATGCACGAGATTCCATGCCAAGTACACTCATCGCCATTCAACCAGTTGGTTTCATTGGCCCATGTAAAGTCGCTATTGTACCAGAGTGAGACAAGTGCGTACCGTTGGGTGATTTGGAACTTGTGATCTTCATTGGTAGCATCGAGCTGAAGGGGATCTTCCAAAACCAACCACTGCAAGGCCAGCGACTCTGGACTGGATAGATCGGAAAATGTGTTTGGTCCTCCCATTGCCACAGTTCCAAGGTACTCTCGCATGTCTTGTCCTCGACTGGACTCTACAGCAGGAGGAGTTGTGGTTTCCGAAGGACGTTCATCGAAATTTTCTTGTTCCTCTTGTTGTATGGGATCCAGGACGGTATCTTCAGCCCCCATGTCTTCGGGCGTGACTACAGTAGGTTCTTCGTCTTCTTCCTCTCCTGGAATAGTATTGGGCGTGTACCCATCAACAGTGACGGCATTGGCTTCAATATTGTTCGCCGGCTCCTTCTTGAACGCCCCAGTTCCAAATCCAGCACCGAGGATAATAACTAGAGACAGCAAAATACAGAGAATGGCACTGAGAAAGACAACCTTATTGCCTCCCTTCTCCACGGCGGCTTCTTGTTCTCGACGCATCATGTCTTCCACCACTTTGGTGGGTGGGATTTCCACACTGCCATCTTCTCCCACGTCATCATCGTCGTACACATCGGGCGACGTGCCCATGGTCGTGTTGAGCTTGTCATACTCACTATTGGCAGCCGCCGCATCGGCTGCCTCGAGATCATGAGGTACTTCATCTACCATGGCTGCCTTTTTGGCAGCATAGTCGTCGTCGGGAGGCGGCGGTGGAGGAGCTCCTGTGGACTCGTAGTCGCTCATCTCGTCCACATCGTCAAAATGATAGGTCGTGTAATTTCCGTAGTCAGCCATCTTTGGATTGCTACCTTTTTGCTACCTTTTTGCTACTGCGATTGCTACGGCTAACCAACCCAGTACTGCTGTTGTCGCTTGTATAAATCTGAATGAGGAACGCAGAGAGAGAGACGTTACTGCCTTTTTCAACAACTAAGAGAACCGCTGCAGATCTTTCACTTTTTGGTCAGCAGTCTTGTAATGGCCACAAAGCAGTCTACAAGAGTCAGTGGACGAACTTTGGGATGGAAATGCTTTTTCGCTTTTCTCTTTTCTTTTCGATCTCTCCCAAGGTCTTGTCGGTGGGTTTGCTTGCCTCGACCAATACGAAAGAAAGGAAATTGACAATTAGCACGATAGCTCGATCGATGGCACTTGCAGTGATACCCACCGAAGCAATTTCTACTACTTGCAAAATATCCACCGTTGGAGGCAGTCATGCCGAATTTGGCACTTTTTTTTCTGAAAGAGGCGGCCGGCCTTTCGATTGCATTCCGTTTTCTACATGGGCTAAGATAAACATAAATATTTCGTGTCCAATGGATCCAGTCTTTATCTCAAAGTACATGGTACTTATTTCACATGTCGGCAGGAATGCCGCCAGGAACCAACTTTTTAGGGTCAAGGGTCGGATTTGACGATCTCAAGATGCAAGTCTTTCCATCTCCCGCGGTTCAGCACATCCGATCCCGTGCCAATCCGAAGCCACGAATACACGATCCCAGCCAAACACACCATCATTCATCATCATCCTTGCGAAATGATGAGACTTCCGTGTTGGATCAGGTTGTACCGGTATGACAACTGGCTAGCTACATGTATGCACAGTTGATTTCTATTGGTTGGATCCTTTGCTTTGGCAATCTTGTCAAAAGGTTTGGTTTCACTCTCTGGAATGAAAACTACCTAGAGGCTGCTTTGTTAACTCATCTCCTGCCGGTTATTCTCGGAGACTTGGGCTGTGGTGAGGTCCCAATTACTAGTAGGAGCAAATCGAACCTACAGTCCCTACAGGAACCACCAGGTTGCCAGTACCGTAGTAACTTTGCCGAATCTAGCACTAATTGTGAAAGCGAAGTTATTGTTCTGCCAATTGGATTCTCGTTGCTTCTTCCTGTCCCCGGCACTACAGGCATAAATAAGAATCCCTCAAGCAGTGATCCTGAACGGATAGCGCCGTCGACCTCACCGCTGAAAAGCTGCCACCAGTACCCACGGAGTGGTGAATGGGCCGAAATTGGCTGTTGTCCGGCCACCTGAAGCGAGACGAACCCAACGGTGGATGTGTCATTGATTTCAAACAGCCTTACAGCTTTCTTTGATTCTAACCACGACTGAATTATCCACGTCTGGCAACCTGGAGTTCGCTTCAACTTCTGGTTTCTTGTGTTTTGTCAACGTCTGCTCACCACAATCAAGCCAAAACAAATAAATCTCGATCACGAAGGACACTACCGGTGTTACTGACACCAAGGATCCCAGTGTCATTGGGGAGCTTCTCCACCCAAACGGCAAGACAAAGATCGTTGCAAAGGCAGGGTCTTTACTGGATTATGTAGGTGACGCAATCGTGAATGCAGGTGAGTTGGAGCCTTCTGATATGATCTCGAATGCTGGCTTTGGCGGCCAGACTAAACAAAGACATCACCGAACCGCTTCTGCTTTTCTTCCGATAATAGCCAATGAGGGCTGTGTCGGAGGCTTTGGAATTGACGAAATGATCAACCGAGCCGCAGGGAACTACGAGATCAAAGAGGCACGCAAAAAACTGGGTGGTTGTCCCACCGGCCAAGCCAAGTCAACGGGGTCCTTTCAATTGAAGGACAAATGTCGATACATTATTCACGCCGTTGGACCGGTATATCGACGAAAGCTGGGACAACCAGAGCCTGATTTTGAGCGGCTGGACGGACTGCTGAGATCGGCGTATAGAAGCGCCCTGCAGGAAGCAGGCAAGTTGCGGGTCGAAACGCTTGGGTTTTGTATCTTGAGTGCTGGTGTCTTTCGGGGGGAGCGTGACCTGCAAGACCTTATTGCCATTGCAATGGAGGCACTCATGGAGGACAATCCCGATTTCCCGGGCTCTGTGTCCACCATTACAGTCTATGCATATACTCCAGAGGAGCAAGCCGCCATGGCGGCTGTGGTTGGCGGTCGCACGAGTTCTGCAGAATGAAAGTTTTCAATAGATAATTGCCTTTCATGTTGTTGTCGTCGTGTGCGTTCTTGCTGCTCCAAAGGTGGAACGCGTAACTCTCTTAGAACCTTTGTCGTCTCCCCGCTCCAATTGCATTCAATTCAGATTGCGGAGCAAGCCATGCCAAGTGCCAACTAGTTTTCGCTTGTGTGGCTTGCACCATGTCCAAGTGCCAACACAACTTCCAAAGGACGGGACCTTGCCCAGCCTACCCCAGAAGCCTCGAGAGTTGCATTGCAGCTGTACCGGTACCGCGAATGCAGGCTCAGTGATCCATCGTGACATGGACGGTGGCCGCACCACACTCAAGATCTAGCTGGCTGCTCACCAGTGAAGGCATTGATTTCGCTTGCTTGGTTGTCTTTCATGGTGCCCTCTCTGCTGTGGAGCCGAAGTAGATTCTCTATTGATTCGATTCGCTAGCTAGTGCCACGATCTAGCTAGCTCAAGGGAAGAGCGGCTTCCTTCTTGCCGTATACTAGCTAGGCGTGGCAGTGCTACACGCATTAGACTATCTGGAGTATCTGGATAGATAGTGATAACGTACGCTAACGTTGGGCGATCCTCGCCTCTGCCTTGAACGATTGCAAAGAGCTGGGGGTGCCTGGCGTGAACGTGACACGGTGACGCATCCAGCAAGCCACCAGTAGTCGCTGGCTTGGTGCAGATGGCAGGGAAGGCCTGGGTCAGACTCAGGCGAGAAAGCATGGACACCTAATAACAGGCCAGAGTGGGAAACACCGTTCCGGTTCTCAAGCTATCTGGACACGGCATGGATGGGCAATGCGTGGCTGTTTCTTGCAGCTGGCTGCTGCACCGCTAGCCGAAGAAAGCTAGCCAAGCGCACGGCTACAGTAGACTACGGGTACTAGTATGTCATGGGCGGTCCAACAACCAGGAATTGGAACGAAACAATAGCCACCGCCACCATGGCACGCAAAACGAAACAACTCAAACGAAATTCCTCCGTCAGAGGATATGTGAATTGTCTAACGATGGTCGACTTTTTAAAATTCAAGAAAATCAACTTTCACTATATATTTCATCACGACATGGTGCTGCACCTGTGCTCTCCAGCAGGCACCAATAGACACAAGATAACAACATGGAAACATCCAAAGCTCAACGTGGTCATGTCCTTCAAAAGAATATCACGGAGATCATTCAGTCAGTTCCGAGTGGGAGCACTGTTTCACTAATTCAGAGTCCAACTCTGCCACACTGCCACAGCTCCACCCAGAAACACACTGAAGGAGGCACTCTAACTACTCTCAGCGGGAACTTCTTCAGCTGGCTTTCCCGCCTCCTCCTTCTTTTCGGGCTCTTCAGCGGCATCATCCTTGGTGGGTTCGGGAACCTTCTCATCAGTGGGAGTTCCCTCCTCCGCGGGAGCCTTCATGAAACAACCACAGAAACTAGCCATGAACGACTTCTTGGGTTCCTCGGGCGTGGCATCTTCCTTGGCGGGTTCGTCCTTGGCAGGTTCTTCCTTGGGTTCTTCCTTGGGTTCTTCAGGAGCAGTCGTCTCTTTGGGTGTCTCCTCAACGGGAGCAGGGGCGGCGGCGGTTTCAGCTACATTGTACAAGCAAAGCAATTTTCGGTGAGCAAAGATCGTCCAGATCCCATGTCACGACCATCATCTGTTCGGAAACTTACTCTCAGCTGTCATCTTGATAGCAAATGTTTTGGAAATGATTGGGTGCAAAATGAAAGAAACTCTGAGAGTGAGAATGTTTGACGAGACGAGTTCTCTGCGTTGTTTTGTGACATCTGATTATTTGTTCTTCCTTGGCCAGCTTCCGAATGTAGACTAGCTAGCGCGCAAATCCCGCTCCGGACCGTCACACCCACTGTCACAAAGAGAGAGTCAACGCCTGGGAGCTGGGAGGGCGTGCCCGAGGCTTCCTATTCTCGGAGGGTCAGGTGAACTTTTCGGGCGGCAACTGTCGAAGTCCTGGTTGTTCGGGGAGAGCAGATACGGAAGACCGAACAACCTGCACCAGAATGGAATACTCGGAGTGGATCTGTTTCAAGCTCTGGGCGGCCACGTGGAGCCTGTCTAGCCAGCGTACCGTTAACCTCGGGTTGTTTGGGCTTGAGCTAGAATATTGGAGTGGGGAAGATTCTTGCTTCTGCTGACCTCCGCAGGTTGGGCAAAGGCAAGCAAGCTTTCCCGATGAGGATGGTGAGGTGGCAGCTCTGGGCTGCGTGGTTGCGCTCTCCATTCCTGCCACACCCGTACGGTACTTAGCTACCGGTACCCTCTGTTTTGCACACAAACAGCTTCGTGAATTGTTGAATTGGGAGGAGGGCTCTCCAGGATTCCATTGAGAAACCCCGGTTCCGATTCATGGTTCCCTCGTACGCTTGCTACCGGTACCCTACTTGTACAGCTATCTTCTTCTAGCCAATTAACCCAACTACCAGCTTGCCCTTCATTGCCATTAGACTACATACGGTACTAGCTAGCTAGTACAGTCGTACCCTTGAGCTTCTTCCAGATTTCTTCTTGAAGGCAGCGAGCTGCTTGATATCTCTCGTACAACGAGCAAAAATGGGTGCTACCAACACAACAAACCCAACTACGACTGTAAGATCATCCGCACGAACAGAGGTTTTGAATCTAAATTTTGAAACACTCAAAGAGCACAGAAGTAATTAGCACATCTCAAAAATGATCATGAATACCTGACTTGCTTGAGAAATCTAGGGCAAAGGGCAGCTCCGGGTGGCGGAGGAAGTCTATTGAAGGACATCGGTACATGGGTGGTCACTACGCGGAGGGCTGAGGGCGGATAAGGTCTATTGGATACTGGCGGTGCTTGGCCTCAGCAGTGGTGGAGCCGCGCCGAAGGCCTTGGGTGGGTTTGTTGGTACTGGTACCGGTACCGGTACCGGTACCGCTAGCTGGTACCGGTACCAGGTAGGGGTACTCGTACTGGTGTGTAGGGGTGTACTCGTACTGCTTGTGGTAAAGATATAGTACCAGTACCGTACGTGAAGTGATCGAGGTGAGTGTTAAATCTATTGGCACGTCTCAATACCTCGAGGTTTAATGCCTTGAGATTTATGGACTGGAAAACCGTAAAACCAACCCTCACAATTTCGATGGAAATCAACACTTTCGCAGCGTGGAGAACGAAGACTCTGGACACAACAACTCATCCCTCTCCCTTCTTTGTCACATTTTTTGAGCGAGAGAGTTCACAATTCGATACATTCGTTCTTCACAAAACTGTTCTACCATGACGATCAACTGCGCTGCTCTTGCCGTCGTTAGTCACACCTCAGGAAACGAAACCAACAAAGATTCGAAATGTCATCGAGGCTTGTTCCGACGCATTGTTGGCAAGCTTCAGTGGCTCAAAGGATCGATGCCAAAGAAATGCGATCTGTATAGCGTCGCGGGGGACCGCAAAAAGTCTATTCGCAAGCGCAAGCGGCGACATCTTCGATCCGCGCGCCACATCATGAACCTCCGCATGTTGTGCAAGAAACAACAAGGAACAATCAACCGCCTCATCCAAGAGAACGATTGCCTGCACGTAGAACGCGATGATTTTGCTCATTGGCTTCATGACGCAGATAATGAGATCGCCAGGCTCCGATTCTTGTACGTCCCTGGCAGCAATGATTTCGCCGACTCGGACATTGGTCCCATGCAACCTGATATCCTCGAAGAAGTCGGACAACAAGTGGGGGACTACAAGCTCGGCAAGCAGCTAGGCAAGGGAGGATTCGGAGAGGTATGACTTGCACGGCGACATCATTCTTCAGATAACGACGACGTTGCAATCAAGGCGATGCCAAAAATCAGAATCAAGTCGACGCGTCACTTGATGGGACTAGACCTTGAGTGCTACATTCTACGCAATCACAGTCATCACCCTAACATCATGGTTTTCATGGTGTCGTGCACGCCCGTGACAATATCTACATGGTTATGGAGAAAGCTGAGTGTAGCCTTACTAGCCATTTCCGTCGACAAGCGATCATACAACCAGACTTTCATCAGCAAGTGATGCTAGGTGTGCTCAAAGCCTTGCAATACTTGCATCAAAATGGAATCAGCCACGGTGACATTGACCCGCAAAACATTCTGGTTCGACGAAAAGACGGGGCACCCGAAAACTACATTGGTGCCGAAGACATTCGGCTCTGTGACTTTGGTTTGGCACACTCGATTTCAAATCCTATCGGCCACTATGGCGGCAGAAAAGACGGTTTCATGGCTCCAGAGCTAGTTTTGAAAGACCACGTGCATGATCACGCGAAGGCAGATATGTGGTCACTTGGTTGCACGATGGTTGCAATGGAAACCGGAGGCTTCCCTCTTAACTGGTACGAACACTATTCGGAGAAGCACACCCGCACAGAAGAGTTCTTGGCTGCTGTTGAAGATAATGTGAAAACACTGCGACAGACATGGCTGCCCGCTGACCCAGGGGAGGCACAGATGCTTGAGTTTGATTTTCTTGTGAATCCTCTTCTGCAGATAGACGTCGGCAGCCGTGTGTCGTCCACAGAAGCCTTGAACCACCCCTGGTTTCAGTTCAAATCTTATCCTCCACCGATTTACGTTGTATCTGAAGAAGATTTGGAGGAACTCGCAAGGCTGGGTGTGAAAAGGGTACGCATGCCCCTGTACGGATAAAAATAGCCAGCTACAATAGACAATTCCACCGATGAAAGGTGCAACATAGACAAACAGTTATTCTTCATGAAACAAAACCTTCAAAACACGTCTTCGGGGACTTGGTATCGTCCTCGTAGGCATACACGTACTCGTAGTACACTTCAGTCGCCGCATGCCATGCTGGGCGTCAAGTTGGACGAGAGCACTGGTCGCCAGCACTGTTACCGTACCGTATCCGCTTCTTTTCACAAGGCAAAACTATCCCGTCTCAATACAGTACGTTTATAAATCCAGGTACCTGGTATCCGTTCCAGCACGTAAAGGTACGGATAAAGCTAATACTGTACAATTGAATTATTGTATCGATGTAACTACCGGTACCGGTACGTGTACCCTTCATATCACTCTTCGGTACCGGTACTGTACCGGTACCTCTTCGGTACCGGTACCGGTACCCGTACCATACGGTGGTACCGGTATCTTTTTCATTTTCAGATAGATGATGTTCCCACAGACCTCAGAGCAGTCAACAGCCAGTCGACCGATTAGAGAATTTGGAACAGATTTGGCATTCAGGTAGATGTGGCAAACATATTCTTTCTCTTGGATTGATCATTCGAATGATTCCATTCGATTCCATACATGTACATGTATTGTGTAGTAAATAGCTAAATAGTCACATGTAGTTTGGTAGGCAAATTTTTAAAAAATCATTGTTCACTTTTGAGATAACCGTTAGAAAAGAGGGTGGCCGACTCGCAATTTTCCAATCATCTTTTCGTTACTTTTTCGTTGTCTCACACCCTCTCGAAATCTGACGGACTGTACAATCGTCCTGCTAGAGCATGAATCAAACGAAGAAGTGACCATGATCGTTCACTACGATAAAGAGAAGCAAGTTTTCTTTTCGGATGGAAACGGAGTTGTCGACACTAGCAAACGCTTCGAAGTAACTCCTATGCCTCTCCCCTTCAAAGTACCGGCCCACGGTACTATCAGAAAGGTTACAGGTAGTAGCTCATATGGCCATGCCAAGAAATCTGAAGTTGTCGGCACTTCGACGACGAGTCGCCCCAAGCAGCAAGCCGTTGTCAAGGGTTTGTCGAGCCCTTCAAACCGCGCGCCCACTCGGAGCCATCGAGACCACCAGTTGAGTGGAACATCCTCAACTCGTCGTGTTGGAAAACAAAATGGCTGCCAAAGCGTCTCCATTCGCCGCGATTCGAGCAAGCCCCAACGACACCCTCAAAAGAACCAATTCAGTGGACGTTCTCCCAGTGCGAATCGCCATGTTGAACACAAGCATGATACCAACAGTGTTGCCCGTCGAGACTGTTTCCGCGACTTGCATTGCAGCCCACTCCGTGGATCTGGTGTCAAGAAAGCTGCAGTTCGCGCAGGTGGGGTCCCCAGCGGAGTTCCACCCCCAAATAATCGTTCTTTCATGGCACCATCTCCCAACAAGTCCAACGACTACGTCTTGGACCATCGCAGCACCCGGGCCCGTGTTCACTTCGGACCCCGCCCAAATCATACTGAAAGCACGGTCGTCTACGTTAAGTCTCGGGCAGCAGGACCAGAAGTCAGCCACAAGGAAAACGTATTGGCCTTTCCGCTCCGTCGAACGCGAAGACTGGCAAGGATGCCCCAGAGAAAGAAGACGACAAAGAAGAATACGTTACCGTCGTTCGCATCAGTTTGTTTCGTTACATGCTCGCATCGATGGGAATTATGAAGCCTCCAACCGGAGTTAAAGTGCCACTCAAAAAGGAAAAGAAGACCAAACAGAAGAAATGTTTCTTTCTTGGACGACGAAACAAGAAGACCTGAGTTGGCTCCGAGACTCGACTTGACCAAACGAATGATCAATCAAACAAGACACTACAGAACAACTGACTAATCTAATCGTTCCCGCAGCATATCATACCGATCTCGGAGTCGAGTCGAGTCGAGTCAACTACATGTATTACTTTGAAGTGCCAATAATTTGGGAGCACTGCCTAGATCTACCTTGTACGGTACCGGTACCGGTACCTGTACCCGGTACCGGTACCTTGCTTTTGTGAACTCGATTGGGAGCTACCAAAACTTCCAGACAATGGTACCGGTACCATGGTATTGAGACAGCAACGAGCTTCAAGAACGACAAACTCGTTTGTTGTTTCTAAAAGCTTATTCTAGTTCATTTTCCATCATACCTTCATAGCTAGCTATTAATACTCTTAAAAACATTAGTTTTGACTTTCATTTAGCTGTTATTCTTACTAGATTGATTCATCTTTTTGCTTCGCAACATAAACTCGTCTCACCTCTTGGGGAATATTAGAAGTACAAAAAGAAACACCGTAATACATGCATGGAGACACCCCCGATTCTTCAGAGTAGACGTCAGGACGCTCGTCCTGGGTAGGGAATAGCTTTCCGCTTACGCCTCACAATCGCCAGAGTTGTCATCATTATCCAAGTCTGTCTTGTCCTTATCCGCGTTGTTGACCATCTTGACGGCGTCAACGTCAACAACTGCGGCAAGCTTTGCCTTCTTGGCTCGAATCTCCTCCAAACGGTGGTCCACATCTTGCCTGTGCTCAGTAAGCTCCTGTTCCAATTGGGTGAGATCTTCCAAAGTTTGGGTGCGGTGTCCAAAGTTAGGTGGAAGAGTAGGAACTCCTGGGTACATGTGTCCTGGCACGACATTGTAGTCGTCTTCAACCTCCTCGCCATTAGCTTCAGCAATGGCCCTCTTCTTGGCAGCACGTTCGTCGGCGGTTCCAACATAGACTTCGTCGCGCTTGAAACGAGCAATCTTTCGGTGGACCAAAGCAACAACCCAAGCACCTTGGCAGATACCAGTCCATTCCAAAAATAGGCAGAAGCGAAGGAGGACGTAGGTAAGGGGAGTGGACAAGAATGCCATTGGGAAAGCAGAGGCCACCAATTGCCAGGTGATGGAGGCGACAATGGTTGTAATGAGGGCTCCGAGCAATCCAGTTTCGAAGAATGATTGAAGTCCATCCGACACTCCCAAAATGTTTTCATCGCCTTCTTCGAGCTTAATGGTAGTGACACGGGCCACAATGAAGAAGCAAAGAGTCACACACATTTGGCCTGTGGGGTAAAAAAACATTGCAGGGTTAATGCAATGTCGAATGGAAATTGGCACAAAGCAAAACAAGGCCGCAGCCACTTACGTCCAACCATGAATCCTGGCAAGTTACGTCCGTCATTGGCAAACAAGACGTCGCAAGTTCTGTTGGCCCATGCATTAGAGGCAAGTTCTTCTTTGTGCATCTTTGCGACGGCGAAAAAGGCAATCTGCATACCCTCGAGCATACCCACAATGGCCATAAAGACAAAGAACAAAATAACCGAAACTCCACCAGGCACTCCCTCCCACATGGTGGTTTGGCCATTGAAAAGCGCGACAAGCGTCACAACAAAGGCAAAGACCAAGATTGCAAAAGAAACAACAACGCGACCCCAGAAGAACAAGCTCTGGACCGGACTGCGGGGTGCTTCGGTGGACTGGAGAGGCTGGCCAGATGCCCAGGCAAAGAAGATTTGGACCAAGTAGCAGCAGTGCAAGAGTCCCGAGGCTTCAATGATGCGAGCCACTTGGAGCGTGAAGAGGCCAAACCAGTTATTGATGTAGTCCAACATGCATCGAGAAGCGTTGACTTGGGCAGAGATTTTTCCAATCATGGCCGTCATGAAGAACATGGCCAATCCGGATCCCAAAAAGATGGTGATGACCCAATCCGGCATACCCCAGAGCTGTTGTTTTTCGTTGAGGGGATGTCCACACAAGTTTTCCACAAAGACCAGAGCCAAGACCATGAACTGACGTCCCATCAAGTATCGATCCAAGTTGTCTCCCCGGTTGACAATGGTCATGATCTGATGAGATTTGGGGTGTGAGTCCTTGTACAAGTCCATATCAATTGGTGGCAATCCAACACAAGAAGCTTGTCCACCTTCCACCATGGAAAGCCAAATGATGGCCAACCATAGCACAATGAACGCCACGGCGGGATGAGCTTCACTGGCAACCTTCGTTTCTCCTGTAAAGATGAGGGCGCACACAATGGCAGAGGAGAAAATCAAAAGACAAGTGGAATACACTTCCTTGAAGAGCTTGAGAGGATCCGAGCCGATCGCCATCTTGATGAGTTTGTTTTGATTGCTTCAAAGATTAGATGTGCCAAATGAAGTGGTTTCAAGGAAAGAATTGTGGGAAGAGTTTGAGAAAGGATGATGTGATGGGTCGAATTGCATTCTCGGGTTTCTCAACTTCAGATCTTGTCTACTGGTTGAGCCTAGACTATATATCTATCTGATCGGCGATGGATAACGTCAAAAGCTGTTGCAATAACCAAGTCAATTATTCAGAGTCCGATACCAAAGGATATCATCGGCTTGCAAAGATAGAAGAAACTGCCAAATATTTGTATTCTTAGCAAGGTGTTGGAAGAGCATCTCTATTTGTCCTAAAGAACGTCAGTGCCAAGATGGCAGGTGTCTTTAGCAACAGCTGTTGGGGGGCTCTTTGTCTAGTAGGAAAGCTACAGCCGAAATATTGTTGCTTCTGCCAACGCCGGGGGGCAACATGAGAACCCGGGGTGTCAACAATCTATAGCTCACCGAAAAAGTGACATGGTCTTCTCATCTCGTCCGTTGCAATGGTGATGGATGGTCATGAATCGAATCAGGAGCGCTCACCAAATATCTTTCTCGAGGCCTGCTATGATAGCTAAAGCCTTGATGATGTTAGGCTTTAGGCTTCTTTCAAACTGCCGGCAGTTGGGTTGACTAGTAGGCCTCCTCGTGGGTGTCCTTGCATGGCAGTCAATGGCGGAAAACGCGTTGCCGATTGTTGGTCTTGTAGATAAATAGAGTAGGTTGATTGTTGCCGTCGTACCGTAGTGCTTGTGGGTCGCTGATTGCAGTGTCGTTGATTGTAGTCTCGCTCGGGGCGCCCTCGTTTCAATACTGAGCTGCGGTGTGGCGCTGCAGCTGTTGTTCTGCCAGCCACGAGTAGATTGTCGCTTTCATCATTGGAACGACCCGGCATCCAGTACGTGCTGGTCCCAGATCGCCGTCGTCGTGGATCGAGATGCGTCCGTCATCGTCGTCCGTCATCGTCGTCCGTCATCGTCGTCCGCATGTTGCTGCCTGTTCAACTGGATGATGCGGTAACGGCACCGTAGCAACGGAACATGGCTGGCTGGGTTATGTTCCTGGGGATCGTTGTCTTTGTTGTTGACAAACCATGCGCTAGAAGATTGAACTGCTTCGAAGCTGTCGCGGTCAGTCATGTTGAGGAGTTTCCGCAGTAACATTTCGACCGCAGCTAGGAACCTCGGCTTCTGGCAAAGCCCATTGGGATTGTTTGCCTGTACCAGTACGGTACACCCGCTACTAAGGTCTATGGTCCGCAGCTGGATCAAGCCAGAACCAATGCATCAAAACCTCAATGGCTTGCCCTTTGGAAGCAATAATGATCGATCCAGCAGTTGCCCAGAAAATTTTATGCTGAATGAGTGCGCTACATGTACAGCGAGCATTGGAGGTGTTGCGCTTTTTCCCACCATCGTCATCGACTTGGTTAGTTAGAAGGGAATCCCACAACGTATCCCACAAAAGCAGGGCCAGCCAACCAAGTCACTAATACAGTAAAATCACGAGTCAAAGTTACTCAAACACTAATCTCTCGTGACCTGTTGCCGTAAAATCTCGTAAAGTGCCCCCTCAGTTGCAAGAAGAAAGCGAAGTTGCGACGTTGCGACTCTCGGAGGGTGGTACCGATATCATAAACCACACCTTGCAATACCTACTCTACAGTAGCTAGCTTACCAACGTACCATATCTCTTCTGATGATTGATCATGTCTTCTGATAGCATTGCAACTGGTGCTAGTACTGGTGTTGCTGTTGCCAATGGTAGCAGTGCAAACCACAATAAGAAACAGAAGATGTCTCCTCCCTTCGATTCTCTTCTGTTGGACAAGAAGGAGATTTCCATCCAAGGCATTCTCCCTTTTGTTGGCATTGGACAGTACACTTTCGTAGGGGCTGTGAACAAGAAGATGAATCAACTGTACAAAGAGTACTGTGAAACTGAACGAAAGAAAAATCCAACAATGGTAAAAGTATACCCTGGACTGTATGCTTTCAGGCGCGCTTCGGAAATCACCGATACTCTTTACCGCGAAACATTCTGTAACCAGCCACGCGCAGAATGCTGGCTCAAGGACAATTCCAGCAATAAGACACCGTATCCTCATCTTGTTTGCACTGCAATTGCAAAAATTGGAAATATTACTGTCATGCAATGGGCACAACAACAAGGATTTCCCTGGAATGAACAGACCTGTTCCTATGCTGCTGGAAATGGACATTTGGAAATGCTCCAATGGTTAAGAGAGAATGGTTGTCCATGGGATGAAGGGACATGCAAGGCTGCTGCTGGAAATGGCCATTTGGAAATTGTAATGTGGGCTCGTAAAAATGGTTGTCGATGGGATGTATGGACATGTGCTAGAGCTGCTCAACATGGCCATTTGGAAATTGTAAAGTGGGCTCGAGAAAATGGTTGTCCATGGAATGAAGCGACATGTGTTCGTGCTGCTCTAAATGGCCATTTGGAACTTCTAAAGTGGGCCCGTGAAAATGGGTGTCCATGGGATGAATGGACATGCTCAGGTGCTGCTCAAAATGGACATTTGGAAATTTTAAAGTGGGCTCGTGAAAACGGTTGTCCATGGAATGAAAATACATGCACAAGTGCCGCTGTAGATGGCCATTTGGAAGTTTTGAAGTGGGCTCGTGAAGATGAGTGTCCATGGAATAAGTTCACGTGTCAATTTGCTGCTCAAAAGGGACATTTGGCAATTCTAAAGTGGGCCCATGAAAATGGTTGTCCGTGGGATGCAGCAACATATCAAGCTGCCTGCATGAATAACGAACAGGAAGTGATCCAGTGGCTACGAGACAATGGCTGCCCTGGGGCTCGTGATGAAAGTTAATCACAATCGCGATTGGTGGCAAATGAAGACTGCATCCAAAGGGGCAACAATGCACGAAATGGTTGGTCCACTCATGTCACTCAAGCACTGGTGATGATTACATAGCCCAATCCCTGCATGCGGGCAGTATTTCTATCTCAGAACATTGCCAAGTTTGAAAATAGAAACCCAATGTGTTCTACTAGGTAGTAGATGGAAGCAGCTACTACATTCGTCTTCGAGTACACGGAGTTTGCAAGCTCGTTTGCAAGCCCGTTTGCAAGCCCGTTCGCTAGCTAACAGACTCCTGCTCTAGCTCTAGACTAACATGCACATGTACTAGTACTCTACCCAGCAAAAAAAGAGAAATGAAGGGTGCTTCCGTGGCTTTTTTGAATGATGTACGAGTTTTATTATTATAAAGTAACGTTATGCAGATTATGCGTACCCATGGACACCCTTGGAGCCATGGTGGCTTGGCGAAATCAAGCATGTAGATTAATTGAAGTTGGAGAATGTCTGGTCCTGGAACCGTGGCTCTAATGAGCCACCTGCGTGTTTCTAGATCTCACAAATTTGCTGCAAGGCCAGCACGTACAAGAGGAACAGAAACGCTCCTGGCACGTAAACTCTGGCCAGGAATTGTTGTTGTTCCCATTGGAAATCCGCAACGGTTCGGCCCGTGTGGAATGCATGAATTCCAAAGCGACCCGCCAACTGGAATACCTGGCTCAGAAGGACCGTCGTGCCGAGCACTGCTCCCAAGACGACCAGACGAGCCTTGGCTGCCTGCCACAGTGGATCGGCAAAGGAGGAAGCTGTCGTTATGGCAACTGTCATGGCTGTGGAGCTTGTCGTCGTCGTCGTCGTCTCATTGGCCGGGCACGCCGTCGCTTCCTCCAATTCCAGCATTTCAGGGTGGCCACTGTCGATTGTGGCGGCCATCTTGGTGCTTGACTGGAAGACGTAGCTTTTCGTCTTCTTGACAACCCTCTCAAGAAACCACATTGCCATGGCAAAGAACGCCGTCAAATAGCGCGTGTACACCATGTACATGCCCGTGCGGCCATCATCTTGGAAACACGCTTGTAGAATAAACTTGAGGTTTTCGCGAGGGTTCCGTACCAACACGGGCAAGACGCGATAGCGGACAAATGCCGACAGATACCAAACATCGAGAAAGACGACCCAGGAATCGCAGAGCAGTATCCCAAAGGTGCATGTCATGACGACCACCAAGGGTGCATTGGCGTTGCCATGAGTCAAATTCAGGCGCACTTGATGCGCGAGACCTCGATCGGGTTGCCGAAGGTATCGTCCATTGCGCGCCGCGGCTTCGAGGAAACTAATCAGCATGGTGGGTACCACCAAGCTGGTATACAGAATGCACGCCACAAGAATGCCAAAATGCTTGCCATTGGCAATCGCATCGTGTTGTAGCAGTGACAAGGCACACGCGTAGAGAATTAAAATCGCCACGGTGTAATTCGCCCGTTGCCATCGCTTGTGAAAGGGGCGCGGTCGATCTTCATCATCGTCATCGTCCTCCTCGTTATCGAAATCGTGGCCACGAGGCGGCAAATCTCCAGACCAGGAAATGGGCGAATGTGGGTCGGAATGCAAACTGGCCCATGCTACCATTCCGGCCAATGGAACTGCCACGAGACGCAACCAATCGGCCGTGGAAAATGGTCCCTGGACAATATTCTCCATGTCCTCCGTCGTTCCATTATTGTTTTTGCCACGTTTAGCCCAGAGTTGGTGCACCGTATCCGCCACAGTGTAGCCATGAGTCACGAAATGTTCCTTTTGCTTCCACAAATGCACGGACAGTTTGGCGACGATAATCATCATGGGTGACAACGCCACAGAGTTGTGTATAAACGCTCGTTTGCAATAACTGGTCACAATGCCTCTCCAAGGAGATCGCGATGTAACGGCTCGTGGAGTGACAAAGGAATGGCATACCAGCAGCATCAAATGAAAAGGATTGTTGATTTTGTATTGGCCCGGGGTGTCGCTTTCATCCGTATGGCTATGATGATGAATGTGACGTTGTGACGCTTGCCGTACATTTTGTTGTTGTTGTTGCTGTTGATGATGATGATGGCGTTGAAATTCTTGTCGTCGCAATGCGGATTGAATTTGGTGTCGTACCATGCGTATTTCGTGATCTTGTTTGTGTTCCAAATCTCGAATCCGTTTCTGGAGGCGTGAATTGGCTTGTCGATTTTTGGAAATAAAGGCGAGCAATCCAGGATTGGTAGCAATGCCACATTCATGCGCCTCATGATATCGCACGCTCCCCTTGTATCCCTTCCACTCGCATCCCAAAGGCGCATATTTGCACGCCACACGAACACCCAAACAGAATAATTTTTCGTGGCGGCGCAATTGTTCCGCGAGAATCCGGAGTCCACAATGTTGGTAGCGACACGTGAACGGCTCTGACGCCAAAAAGGCGGCATAGTGAGAATCGGTCACGACGCCACGGACCATGAGATTGCGGCACGTGGGACACTTGGATACACCAATAGAACTATTACTGCGATTGTGATAATGACGATGCAAACATGCACGACAAAAGCGACCTTGACAAACGCCACAACCGACGGGATCTTGAACCACCGAAATGCAAATGGCACACAAGTGATCTTCCACGTCTCGGTCAAAGTCGGATCGCCATTCTTGTTCGCGATCCGGGAGGACGGAGACTTTTAATTCTTCCAATGGAACTTCGTCTTCGTGAGAATTGTCGGTATGGCGGTGGCGCCATTGGTGGCCAGTGAACCTCGAGTCGTCGGAATCATCATCGTCGTCTTCCGAATCATAGGGAATCCTGGCAAAACCACCAAAGCTGTGCGCCCAAAAATCCTCCAACGCATTGTCCACGTCTTCATCTTCTTCGTCATAGTCGTTTTCTTCTTCTTCTTCTTCTTCCTGAAAATACTCTCCATAATCGGTCGAAGTGTTATCTTCTTCTTCCTCTTCTTCGTCATCAGAGGGATCCGGAATGACCTCTCCTTCGGGATCCGGACGATGCGCCATGTCATGCAGCAACAAATCCTCAACGCGCACTCGACCGGAATAACGACGGTCGCCAAGGTGTGCCATTGTGGTGATTGATTAATTAACCTGTTATGGATGGTACCTTGGTTGGCAGCAACACGGAATGGTTGCTTGCCGTGAGAATGAATGACAAGGCAGGGTGTGATCGATGATGAGTGGCGGCAACAAACGCGACCAGCATCCGCACGTCTGCCTAACTAAACCCACATGCATGGAAGATTTAGAGGCCAATGCACTCAAACCAATCCTACCATGTTTTCTTCTTTCCACTGACAGCACTAGTATGATACCAGTAGCTATGCATAGCTAGTACGAGCTCTAGCTAGAGCTAGTGGGTAGACCTGTAGCAGCCAGGCTGAAGCCAACTACCAGTATATGTAGCTAGCTAGCTCGGTAGCTCAAGGCCAGAAGGAAACAGGCTCGCTGTTTGAGAAAGCACATACCTCAGTTCTCGTGAAAGGATGCATCAAGCCTCGCTGGCTCACAGGCAACCAAAGGGAGCCAAAAGGGAGCCAAAAAGCGAGGAGTGATCATGCGACGACCGAATTATATTCCAGACCCAGGGCAGCCATTGTCGCGCAGCCACTCCATCACTTCCGTTTCGTCATTCAAGCAGGCATGTTCATATGTGTTTTCGTTCCATGGACAGCCGTTTGCACGGGCCCACTTTAATAGTTCCACATGGCCATTTTCAGCAGCTTCAGTACATGTCGAGCATTCCATGGACAACCATTCTGGCGAGCCCACTTTAGAATTTCCAATGTCCATTGAGCAGCATGACATGTCTTCATCCATGGCACCTTTTCATGGAGCACTTAGATTTCCAAATGGCCACATTCGGCAGCACCGGCACATGTCCTTGCATTCCATGGAAAACCATTTCACGGCCCACTTTAGAATTTCCAAATGTCCGTTTCGAGCAGCAAAAGCACATGTCCACACATCCCATGGACAACCATTTTCACGAGCCCACTTTAGATCCAAATGCCATTTGAAGCAGCAAAGGCACATGTCGATCGATCCATGGACACCCATTTCTCGAGCCCACTTCAGAGTATCCAAATGGCCACCTTCAGCAGCACAGGAACATGTACATGAATCCCATCGACACCTATTTTCACGAGCCCACTTGAGCACATCAAGGTGACCACCTTCAGCAGCTTCAGCACATGTCCGTTCATTCCATGGACAACCATTCTCTCTTGACCATTGGAGCATTTCCAAATGTCCATATTCAGCAGCACGGGCACAAGTCTGCTCATTCCATGGGAATCCTTTTTGTCGCGCCCACCGCATGACAGTAATATTTCCAATTTTGGCAATTGCAGTGCAAACATGAGCATGACCAGGTGCCTTAGGGTTGGAAATGTCCTTGAGCCAGTATTCTGCACGCGGCTGGTTACAGAATGTTTTGCTGTAAAGAGTATCAGTGATTTCTGCGGAGCGACTGTCATCGTCTGGGTTATCTTCTACATTGCTTGGATTTTTATCGAGTTCAGTTTTGCAATACTCTTTGTATAGTTGATTCATCTTCTTGTTGACAGCCCCCACAAAAGCATACTCTCCAACACCAACAAGAGGAAGAATGCCTTGGATCCAAATCTCATTCTTGTCCAGGAGAGAATCAAAGGGAGGAGACATCTTCAGTTTCTTATTGTTGTTTGTACTACCATTGGCAGCAGCAACACCAGTACTAGCAGCGGTAACACTAGGAGAAGACATGATCAACAATGAGAAACTTTGAGATTGCTTGTTGGCCAGAGTCAGCGTGGACGATGATGTACTGTAATGGATCCATGCGGTCAGCGGTCAGCGGCCAGCGACCTCCTCAATCAAACCGACTGGTGCACCGAACCCGAATACCCGACCCGTTAGGGACGAATACCGTCCGAATATTCGATCCCTATGTTGTGGAATGGCGAGTCCCGAACTGACTCAGCGAAGATTTTGGCCGTTGTCCTTTTCCCTCTCCTTTTGCTTTGGAAGCCTCTTTTTCCTGTCAATGTTCTTCCTGCCATGGCACTGTCTGTAGCACCGTTCGTGTTGGTTACTTGTGGAATCATGTCTCTGTTGATCTCCAGAGCATCTGGAACTCGAAGTCTGTTTTTGGTGCAGAGATTTAGAAATTCCTTGGCTTTTGTGGGGACTACAGGTCGTCGACAACCTTCCATCACCTCAATATCAACAACATGCACAACGAGAATGAGGTTTTCTTCCCAGTACCACTCTCATCGTCATCCTTTCTTGTCCCGCACAACCCGCTTGGCTTCCACTACTGAGAGTGACAAGAATGGTGAAGAGCTGACGATGGAGAATCTGTACACGGAATGGAGCCTGGAACAGGACAAATTGCTGTGGGAACACCGAAAGGATCCAATCGTAGAACTGGCGGCTCTGTTGGGTCGAGGATTGCGGGGCGTACAGGCTAGATTGGACAAACTCCACAATGTCAACTCGCCCGCTTACGAACGATTGTTTGCCAACAATGCCAAACAACAGTCAACAAATGACGACACTCCCAATGATGGTACATCCTCCTCCACTACAACATCCAAGAAACTCATTCCATTTTCCGAACTGGCGCGACGGATTCAATGGGATTATTCTCTGGATGCCAACGACTTTTTTATTCTTCACTACGATCGCGTCGACGATGCCATTGTAGAGTCCCCGTGGAATGCTCCCAATGACTCGATCGAAGGTAGTGCCACGTCCTTAATCGATGCCTTGCCGGAACATCGCATTGTCGCCGTCAAGTACAAGGAACAAGTTGTTTGGGATCGACCACGAAAACTCGACAAGGTGTTTGGGACACCGGGTATTCAAGATATTGTGGAGAATTACGATGAATGGAAACGACAACACAATGCCAACCGAGTATGGTTGCGACAACGACAAGAACAGTTTTCGACACTGCTGCAACGAATGATGGGACTCCAACAATTTACAAAGTTCCGATCCATGAGTTTGGAATTGAAACAACAAGTGGAACAAGACGCCACGGTATCGTCCAAAATGCTAGTGGAGGATTACATACAAGAGTGTCTCGTCATTTTTCAGCAACTACGACAAGATCCCGCCGCAAGCCAAGAACCATCCCTCATTCCTCCAACCGATATCATGGCATTGGAATGCCTCTCCGAATTCATGGCACTCAATCCGCATCCGGAATTACGACAATTGGTCTTGCACGAAATTGACTTAGCCTTGCGACAACTCGAATACGGCGGCGGCACCACAAACACGAATAGTCGCCAATCCATCATAGAACTTCCGCCGCTCGACGAAAATGACATTGCCGAAACCTTTGTCCGAGGGACGGGACCGGGAGGACAAAAGATTAACAAAACCAACAACAAGGTAGTCCTGTTGCACCAGCCAACACAGCTACGCGTCGAATGTCAAGAAACGCGGTCGTTGCAACAAAATCGAAAGATTGCCCGCAAACGATTGCAGCTCAAACTGGATGAATTCTACAATGGCAGACAAAGTCGGACCAGTATCAAAGCACAAAAGGCATCCAGTAAAAAGGCCAAAGCAAAAGCAAAAAGTAAAGCTCGAAATCGAAAACGAAAACAGCAGAAGAAGGAAGAGGGGGAGTGAGGATAGATCGAGCCACAACGACTCGACGCACGTTGTATCACAACACACAGCTAGCTAGCGAAAACACACATAAAAGAAGGTACCGGTAGGCATCTACCTTTTGATAGCTTATTGTCAGTTTAATTAGAGCCCACTATCTTCTTGAACCAAAAAGTCCACGACTTCTTCCAATGGGGCGGCAATGCTGACCAAAGATTGGCAAATATCAATGCGACCAACATTCTGGCTGATTTCGTCCTCGCCTTCCTCGTCATCTTTTTCCGGCAATCCTGTTTCCTTCCACTCGCCTTCTTCAAACTTGCCGTTTAGCTTTTCCACCAAAGCTGCCGCATCCACTGTCGGTATCGTGGGTCGATCGACGAGTGGATCTGGCACCCATCCGTGACCCGGTTTCTGATAGGTAAAGCGAGCGCCCCTGGCATCCGTCAGGACCTGAATGATTCGTTTCACTTTATCGTATCGTCCTTGTTCTTTGAGGTATCGATGAAGAGCAAAGGGTGAAACGGGCGGAACGAACCATGATCGGGAGATTGTCACAATGGAGTCATCGTGAAAAAAGTCCAGTTTGGCCTTTTCCTGTACCAAATTGTCGTAACTGGTGGTGGCTTCGGCAAAGGTTTTGGACCACATGTTAAAGTATTCTGGACTCTTGCCGCCCGTGGCCAACATGTCGTCCAATAGCTGAATGAGAGCGTCGTCTTGCAAGATGGTGACAAATGCCACACCTTCCCCATAGGCTTTCCGCCCCCCTTCGGTAATGACACAGTGCAGCTTGATGCCTTCATCACTGCTCCATTCTAGAAAATCCCCCGCTTGGGCACCATCTACCAGTAGTTGAGAGTATTTTTCGATTGCCAGCTTTGGATACAGGCAAGCAAACGCGCTCAACACACCACCGGTATCATAATGATTGCTGAGCACGAGGGCATTGCTGGTATCTTTTGCATATTGTTGACTAGTGGCAAGTTTCAATGCCATTTCGGTCGACGTATCGGCATACAGCTCTGCGGGTGTATCGGCATTGCCGTTCCAATTCGACAATGTCAGATCACATCCTGGAATGAGACTATCACAGGAAATTGTGGGTCTTTGGACGGTATTGGATTCCCGTCCTCCTCTTCCAGATGTGAATCCCTTCCACTCATCGTAGACGAATTGGAATTCTCGGTCAACTTCCACTGGAGCTGCCGTCTCCTTGGTTGTTGTTGGAGTCACAACAAGTGCAGCTTCTTCTAAAGATTCGAAAAGACTCGGCGTTTCTTCTTCGTCAACCTTTGGCTCAATCTCAGTTGGAGGGGCTTCTGGTTCTGGTATTGCCACAACCTTGTCGGCTGCTTTGGCGGCATCCTTTGTTACAGTTCCAGCACTATCTTGCTTCTTGATAAAGTCCATAATCACTTTGCGGGTCAGTTTCAAGTCTTCTTGAGCATCCATAGCCGCTCCCGGAAGTTTTGGTTTTGTGCCAGGAGGAGCAGCTGCAGTGGTAGCATGACGACTGGTATGCTGTCTTGTGACAGAGAAGAAACGATGGTTGTCATGGTTCGAGACAAATGCAGCTTGTGTGCCTACAACAAACGCAGCAAGAACTAAAAGAGCCACGGATGCTAACCGAGATGATACGGGTATTACTTGCGTTGTCATGGTATCAACAGGCAAAGGAATGAGCCAACTTGAGGAACTTCGAATCAGCACTCGGAGGGGAAGATACAATGATACTAGCTAGCTACATCGTACTAGTAGTGTACAACCCTCACTCGTTGACACCCACAGACCGGTACCTGGTACATGAAGATGCATGCGATCATCAAGACTACAAAGGTCCGGATTCTGACGTCAGTTAGGGCGCTCACTTGACACTTTTTAAACCTTGCCGACGGGTGGAAGTGGTACCAGGTACACTGTACCTGGTACTAGTACGAGTCGAGTCGAGTCGAGTCACTCCACACCGCTCGTGTTGTGCAAGAATTCAATACAGGTGCATTTTGTTGGGCCACCCGCACCGCAAGCAGCTAGCTACTGGTAGCCTGCTCTAATGCTTCTTGCCAGATCTTCTCTGACCTCTCCGTTTGCTCTTGCCATTGGGTTTGCCAATCCTCTCTATTGCTGCTTGCAACTCAGACAGTCGTTTTTTTGTATTTGGATGCGTCAAATCTTTTCGCCAGCAAATTTTGGCTGAGATTAATAATGCAGCATTTGGCTCCAACTTGAAATGATCCATCATCAACTTCAGTGCTGCATCAGCCTTTGCCCCAGGATTTAAAACATCAGATTTGGAATATGACTTGAGCAAGACATTGAAGGTAATGATGTCTGGTTTTGCTGATGTGTCCCCGCCATCATAGTCTTGAACCATGCATTGGAATAACCTCTCTGCATCATGACCGAGTCCACACTGGGCAAAAGCATTGATGACTGAGTTGTAGCTGATTGAATTTGGTTGTACAGGGAGGGTACCACTATTGAATAGGTCAATCATTCGATCCAGCACAGCTTCTGCTTGTCTTGCTGAATCAACATTGCTTGATTTTGCGAGAGCATCCAAAACGGCATTGAAGGACCGAATATTAGGCCTTGCACTCTTGTTGCCATCTAAGAACTCTTGATACATCTCCTCCAACAGTGCTTCAGCCTTGGAACATTCTCCTGCTCTTGCGAATGCATGGATGGTTGTGTTGTAGCAGATTGTGTTGGGGGGCTCATCCAAGAGACCACCTTGATAGTCCTTTTGCATCCTTCTCAGTACCCTTTCTGCATCATCGGCAAGACCACCCTTAGCATAGGCATTGATGACTGAGCTAAAGCTGATTAAATCTGGTTGTACAGAGAGGGTACCACTATTGAAGAGGTCAATCATTCGATCCAGCACAGCTTCAGCTCTTTGAGCCGAATCAGGGTTGCTGGATTTTGCCAGAGCGTCCAACACACCACTGAATGAATGATTATTAGGCCGTGCACTTTCGTTGCCATCTAAGAACTCTTGATACATCTCCTCCAAGAGGAATGCAGCCTTGGAACATTCTCCTGCTCTTGCGAATGCATGGATAGCTGCAGTGTAGGACACTGTATTTGGGGGCTCATTCAGAATACCATCGTGATAGGCCTTCGTCATTCTTCTCAGAACTCCTTCTGCCTCGTCGGGAAGGCCATGCTTGGCATAGACATTGATGACAGAGTTGTAGCTGTAGGTATCGGGTTGTACGGAAAGGGTACCACTACTAGAGAGGTCAATCATTTGACCCAACACAGCTTCTGCTCTTTTTGCTGAATCAGGGTTTCTTGATTTTGCCAGAGCATCCAACACAACATTGAATGACTGAGTATTAGGCCTTGCACTCTTGTTGCCATCAAGGAAATCTTGATACATCTCCTCCAACAGTGCTTCAGCCTTGAACATTCTCCTGCTCTTGCGAATGCATGGATGGTTGTGTTGTAGCAGATTGTGTTGGGGGGCTCATCCAAGAGACCACCTTGATAGTCCTTTTGCATCCTTCTCAGTACCCTTTCTGCATCATCGGCAAGACCACCCTTAGCATAGGCATTGATGACTGAGCTAAAGCTGATTAAATCTGGTTGTACAGAGAGGGTACCACTATTGAAGAGGTCAATCATTCGATCCAGCACAGCTTCAGCTCTTTGAGCCGAATCAGGGTTGCTGGATTTTGCCAGAGCTCCAACACACCACTGAATGAATGATATTAGGCCTGCACTCTCGTTGCCATCTAAGAACTCTTGATACATCTCCTCCAACAGAAGTGGTTCAGCCTTGGAACATTCTCCTGCTCTTGCGAATGCATGGATGGTTGTGTTGTAGCAGATTGTGTTGGGGGGCTCATCCAAGAGACCACCTTGATAGTCCTTTTGCATCCTTCTCAGTACCCTTTCTGCATCATGGCAAGACCACCCTTAGCATAGGCATTGATGACGAGCTAGCTGATTGAATTTGGTTTTGCCTGTCGGTTGCCAGATTTGTAGTCTGCCTCCATTTGACCAAAGATCCGTTCGACACCCTGTACATCCCCGTGAATTGCGTAGGCTTTCATTGTTACGTTGTACAGGCGGGCGTCAATCTGCGAGCCTAGAGATCTTTTTGGCATGGTTTGAATTTCTTGAAGGAGTTGTTCGGCAAACACCCCAGACTTTGGGTGCTTGGAATTCACCCAAGCTTGTAGCGCATATGTGAACATGGATGATTTTGGCAACTGATCCAGGAGAGACCCTTTTTGAAATTTCACGGCCCACCGGAGAGTCTTCTGTGCAGTTTCCGCCCTTTCCTTTGTGCCTATAGCAGCACCAGTAGCAAGCTCCTCGATGATGGAATTGAACGTGTTTTCTTGCAGTTTGGTGGATTTCTGGTAAAACCTTTTAAAGTTTTTCAGCATGGAGCGAAATCTTTTGCCTTTACCAAATCAAGCAGTACCTTGTCCGCTGCCGGTATTTTCAGTTGCTTCTTGACGGTGGAAAAATGTGGCCTTGGTTGGCGGCACACAGCGGAAGCTGCGACAGGATTCCAAAGTGCACTACTAGTATTGCTATTGGCAGGTTGTCGCCAGCTCACAACACTATTATTTGCTGCCTGATGATACGATAAGCTTAGCCGCAATTCTCGCATTGACGCCACGTGGGCCACGGCGGATTGCCGCCGAAGGGAGCGATTGACATTCCTCTTGAGAGAAGAACGAAACATTTTGTCTAGCTAGATAGATACGGTACCGGTAGAACAGTTGCGACCTTTTTGAGCAATCTCTAGCTAGCTAGTACCGATACGGTACACTTGTGTGGTACTAGTATGTCATGAGCGGCCGTTGCTGTGCTCTTCTTCCTTGTGTCTTTGTCGCGTTGTCGAGCAATCCACTTTCGGGTGTTGAGAGAAGATCCAAGCCTTCCTCGATCGTTATCCCTCTCCTTAGTAAGTCATCTTTTTCTTGTATGAAGACTGCTGCAGTCGGGTAGTTGAGGTATATATAGGGTTATGCATACCGAAAACACATAAATGCAATTGTATATTTACCATATCTACCTGCAATGAAAAGCTGTTTCCCGCCGCGACCATCCATCCGTGAGGTGACACTCGTCAAAATGGCGCCATCAGCACGACAGAAGCAGTTGGCAAAACATTGCCATTCTTCTAGCTAGATGTGCTTGTAGCTCCAGACAACCATAGAATCAAAGCAGCGTCTTCACCACCATGACCTCCTCATCATTTGGCACAGTCCTGTTGTTACAGATTTTTCCGGCATTACTGCCTCCCAAGAATGATAACGATCGCGATTTCTACGCCGTTCTTGACATCCCTAAAGGCGCCAGTGAACAAGACGTGCGCAAAGCGTACAAAAAGAAAAGTCTAGCATTGCATCCCGACAAACAAGCCCAACGAGGCGCATCAGCTCGATCCGCCGAAGAAGCCGCACGCGAGTACCAGTTGGTCCAAGAAGCCCATGCCTGTTTGTCGACTCCAGAAGGTCGTCAACGCTATCATGCCGTCCAGTGCAGTCCAACGCGCTATCGATTTCTGACCCAAGAAGGAGGACTTGCCAATCAAACCCAAATTGTCAAGAATCTCAGTCAAGCGTCGTTCTCCGACAAGACGCGATTGGTCCTCTTTGTGTCGTTGTTTCCGGCATTGCTGCTAGTACAACCCATTCTCATTTGCGTCAAGATCAATCACTTGTTGGCACAATCGGGCGGCGCTTTGGAAAATGCGTCTTGGATGGCCATTCTCATTCCCTGGTGGGTCTTTCATTCCCTGTTCATTCTCTTTTGGGTGGTGGTTCTGGCGGCCGCCAGGGCCAGTCATCCTCCTGCCATGTTTGCCATTGTCACCACCATCGTAGAACAAATTCTATGGTTGATTGCCTTTATTGTGTTGGCATTGCGATGGGATCAGGTCATCACCGCCGACTATGCACTCGTCTTTATTCCAGTCTACCTGGCACTCATTGCCAAATGGGTTCACACGATACTTCTCATGCAACAAATTGCAGAAGACATGGCCAAAATGGTCTCCAAAGATCATTTCCTTACTGTCATTTTACAAGGACGGGAACCAGAGCAATTGGAAGAAGAAGAACTGAAAGACTTGCACGACAAATACGTGGTCGTACAACAAATACCCGCCGATGTCGAGCACGCATTGGAAAACGACTCCGCACTGAAAAACTTGCCCGACGAGGAAAAAGAAGAAATTCGAGTCACGTCGTCCAAAGAATTTGAAGCCGCCATGGAAGCTTTTAATGATGCACGCTTGGCCATTTTCCGATCCATGCTCTTTGAGGTTGCCTTTTTGGTACTCGTCATTCTCAAAGTTGATGATCACGCTCCGATTTTGAGTTGGTGGATTGTCTTTTGTCCCATTCTGTCGTCGTATACAGCACGGTATGTACGAACGTGTTTTGCATGTTGTTGTCAAGCCACACCCGCCGTGGATCCAGACGAAGCCGTAGTGCTGGCGGCCATGGAGAAAAAGGCACAAGAAGAAGAAGAAAAGACAAAAAACAAGGGATTTGATCTCGAGTCGACCGTCATATTGCACAGTCTCAACACGGAAGAATTCAATGGCAAGACGGGAATCATCAAGGGACCACTCGACGCAGAAACAGGTCGTCAGCAAGTATTCATTCCACAACTCAACAAAACCGCAGCGCTCAAATTGGACAATTTGACGCCGATGGATGGTGCTGGCGGTGTAGCCTATGGGCATGCGTCCATCAATATTGACACGACTGCAGGGGAAAACAAGGACAATTCTGCAGACGCCAATGACAATAGTACTCCAACAACAACGGACGACAAAAAGGAGGAAACCGCGGCGGAGAAACCACAATCAGCAGCCAACGAAAACAAGGACGAAACCGACCAAGGTGGGAATGGCAACAGTGCTGCTCAGGCTGCTACTCTTGCTACTGACCAACCTTCCTCGTCACCCGACAATCCAGCCTATGGTACTTTTGAGGATGGTGAAAAGAAGGACAATGACGATGACGATGGCAGCATTCACATTGAAGTGGATGCAGAAACCTACCGAGCATATCAATCGGCGTATGCGGCTGCCGAAGCAACTGCCATGGAAAAACGAGTCAAAGCGGGACAAGACAATTGCGTCACGACCATCCGACTCGTCATGGTGTGCCTATTAGTCGCCAAACTGGAACTATCGTACGCAGCCATTGAAGAACGAGAACAAAATGAGGATGCCGATGTCGATGTGGGATTCAATACGCTGTGGCTGATCTTTCCACTCTTCCTCGTGGCTGGATTGATGATGGGTTGTTGTGCCTGTCTCATTTACAGTGCACCCGACCCAGACGAACTCATGCAGCATGAGGGCGAGAATAATGAAGAAGGCGACGAAGAGGCAGGCGGACAAGACACGCCCATTGTAGTTGCACCACCTCCTGAAATGGACGTGCCATCTCCGAACGAGGCAGCCAGCGCACAATCCACAGAACCGGACGCCCCACCAGAAGCCGCAAACAATGACGGTGAAGATGACGCAAAAAAGAAAGAAGACGCAGCTGCGGTAGACGAACAAGACAATCCAACGTCCCCACCTCCGGTGGAAGAAGATGTGGGTGGAGATATGAATGATTTAGACTAGCAAGTGTCCATGTGGATGTCTAGCTAGAAACCAAAACTGTAACTAATTTTGACGATAATGAGTGATGCCTTTCCTGCTCTTCCCACAATAACCTGGCAGCACACGAAGAAGCAAGGGTTCCACATGCTGCGGGTCCGAACTCCTTTCCTTTTATGCCGACGTCTCGTTGTCAAAAGCTGTCCAGCCTGGGAGTCGACGGTTGATCGGATGCGTGTTTATCGGTTGTGGCGTTTTCCCCCCCTTCAGAAGTGACGGATACAAAAGCAAACATCCTGGGATTGGAAGTACAGGAACGGTCCTAGCCTATCTACTTTGCAGCAGCATACAGAGCTCCCCATTAGCAACTAATGTATCTACTGGAACTCGGGCACATTACAAAAATCCCAACCCTGCTCAAGTACCAGTCGTTTAATCTCTCGCTGAATCTTTCCCCACAAGTCTGGCTTGGTTTCCCACGGAGTGCGCCCCCCTCCGAGCAGATCCATGGATTGCAAGAGCAAGGATGTGATGGAATGTACCGTCTCGAGGGCCAGCCACGGTGCCAAAGGTCCCAATTCGAACGAAGAAGACTCTGTTTGGTAGGCCTTCCATATTTGCTCGGCTTGTGTTCGGTTGGCACATACCTTTCGGCACAACAAGAGCAATTCAAAACGAGGGTCTGCCAAAGCCGCTTCCTCCCAATCCAAAACGGAGGATATCCGTGGATGATTGTTGCTGTTAGCTCTTGTAGTATCGGTCTGTTGTGCAAAGATGATGTTTTGTGGTTGACAATCCATGTGACACAACACCATGGGCAATGGGCGGGGTTTCTCGGTTTTCAGCTGATGAATGGCTTTTCCAAGTACGTCAATGGCCGCTAGCAAGTTGGGATCTCCAGTATTAGTAGTAGCGGACGTGGTTTGCACCATTTTGACGTGCTCTTGTTGATATAGAGCCATCATGGAAGAATAGGTAAATCCCACAACAGTTCCATCGGAATGGTTGCTTGCAGGTTTTCTCAGCGCGTCTAGATCCTGTTGCAGTTCCGTGCAATGTTGTTGCATATATTTGTGTAGAGGAAGCGTGACTTGATTCAGGATGGACAATGTATAATCACAACACTGGTTCTCTGGAACTCGGCCCCACCTCGGATGAGGCTCGTCAAATCCGAATTCAAGGCGCGTCTTGACCATGCCGTCCATCCAAGTGGTATCCATTTGCCAGTTTTCATGAAAGAGCAAGGAATCCGGACCCACATAGGACAGGATGGCCCAAGGATGCTCATCCTTTTCACTCTTGTCGTTTGCGTTGTTGTCGTGTGAAAAGTACAGCACGAAAGGAATGTGGATGCTGAGTGCTCTGTGGGCAATTCGATATCCAGCCACTTCGGATCTTGCCAATTCTGCGACTTGGTTTTGATTACAGCGATTGAGATTCCACCAACAAGAGGATGCCTTCCACAATCGAAGGACCAACTTGTTGCGTCCCACGTGCAGTGCTCTTTCCCATTCGCCAGAACCCATTTTGGAGGATGGCTTCTGGACCTGATCCACAATCCATACTCGTTGTTGCGCCGACTTGAGCTCGACAAAGTTGGCAGATTCTACTACTTCGGATCCAAGGATGGTGCTCAAATGGCTCACAACGTATTCCGGAACCCCGTCATTCTCCGATGTCGACGCTTCTTCCATGATCTCTTGCTCTGACTGTCCTGTTGTCTAAATATCGTTATAATGTTCCTGTTGTCTTATGAATAGTGTGCCAATATCATTCACAGCTGTACTCTTATGTGCTTGCGATGTTGGGTCATGTCTTATAGACCGTCCATCCAACGTTGGTCAACACCATGGCGTCTTCGTCTGTTTGAGAGATCTCACAGAAGTGAAGCCGGCTTGACTGGCAAATCGAATTTGGTCTGGTCACATTGGTTCAGCCTGGTTATGGGTGCGAAAAAAGCCGTTGCTAAAGTTCCTGATAACATGTACTAGTAGATCGAAACATTCAATCTTCACTCGGGTTTTTTAGAGTTGGTGGATTAATTTGTCGTTTCTTCCTCTTTTGAAAGGGTCCAAAGATGCTCTGACATGATACGTACGACATCATTATTTGGTTGTGATAGCAGCAATTGACATTGCGAATATCATATCCATGTCGTCGTTGGCAGTGTTGCCAGCGGGTTCCAGGAAGCGCTCTCCTTCGAAGCCTCCTTTCATAGGACAGTTAGCGACGAAAGCCAAACAAGTCGACACTCCACAAACGCTGCAGCAGCCAGAGCAAAAAGTTGCGAAGAAGCGGCAGCAGGCTGATTTCCTGGAATGGATAGCCTACTACTCAGCAGTTGAAGTTTATCATCAGCAGCAGCAACTACAGCAGCAGCAGAGTCAGCAACACAAAAAGAAGACACAGCAGAACAAGCACCAGCAACAAGAAGTTCATTTAAGCAACCCGAACGCTGCCCGGAAACTTTACTTCACTACACTTCCATCTTCTGAGGTAGCAAGTGCAAGATACTGTATTGGCTTGAATGTTCTGGTGTCTGTCGGAGACTACAGCAGCAATGCTACTATTCATGAGAGTGATGTCCCCACAAAGTTGGTCTTGGCAACGGTGAAAAGTGTTGGTAAAATATTGGGAGAAGTTTGCTACAAGGTGCAACTACAGCAAGGCGATCCCAACAGCCATGGCAATGTGTACCTGGAAGAAGACTTGCGCTTTGCGTCCAATACTGTTGTCTCATATCGCGAACTTCCGGCATTGGTTAAGGAAGTTTCGGACATCGACGATGAATCCTACACTATCAAACTGCTGAACCAAGATGACAATAAGCGCAATGTGGTCACAACAGTGTCGGCACTGGATCTGTCATGCCGCAAGCCGCCTCAAGTTGTCAAGCAGAAGAAGGCCAAAGCACGCAAAGCCGTTCAAGGTGTCAAAAATACGCAACGGTCTCTGTTTCGCCGTATGTTTCGAGGCCACGGGATCCGCAATCTCACTCATGCCAGCCAGAAGCTCCAAACGTATGCACAACAACTCGATGGCGATCACCGGCACCTTGTCTCAGGGCTATGTTTGCCTTTTCACTTGGAAGCATACTGTGCCAGAGGAAATGCATGTTGCTGCAGTGAATCACATCAGGACCTCACAGAACAACAAGCTTGGCTTCTAGAGCATTGCCTCTGTCCCGGAGCTGATCCCTACCCGGCCACCGCTACCAATAGTCTTTGCTGATCCAGAAGCCCACCTATATGCCGTCTTGCCACGAGCTACCTCTCTCATAATACATTGTCAGTTCAGCAGCACCGGGCACTTTGCCTACAATCAACTCCCAGCTACGGTACCGGTAGGTAGGAGCCACCTGAATCAATTACCATAACATAAGAGACATAAGAGTATTCTTAACATTCCCATATTCCCCCTAGCTAGTCTCTTGATTCTTGCCTCCAAATTCGTAACTTCGCTTCAAAAAATCATGATATCTCGACGGTGCCGTAGATCCCGTTCAGTTCCAGACGAACTCTAAGTTGGAACAGTACCGGTATGGGGCAAATCATCATGGTTGCTTGTAGCGTGATCTAGTAGTGTATCAGCAAAGAGTTTTCTGTGTGTTACAAGTTACACATCCTTTTCTGGAGTCGGCCCCTGGGGAAGATGTCATGGAGGAAACCAGAATGTCCACACCATCAGTGACAATGTTTTAGGGTAACTAGGTTGTTGGCTAATACCGACATGTACCTACACAGCGTACCGGTAGCTACAGTGTCGATAGGATGGCTGTATGGCTGTGCCAATTTCGTTTTGGCTGTGGTCTACCTCTACCATACTCCCGTGTCGTCTTCTAGCGGCCACGCCTGAAGCGCCTTGACACCTTGGGCTTCGGCAGGTAAAAATGCCAGTTCCTCTCCTGTTTCACCACTCAACACTACCAACGCTGGGACTCCCGATCGACGACCAAAACCAAATTTGAGTGATTCCGAGCCAGACCAAATGTTGTATTGTCGCTTGATTTCATCGGCATCGTCCCCAAATGGAACACTGAGCATTTCAAAGGCGCTGGCTCTCTGGAGAGCCGCCTCTTGGGATCGATCCGAGGGTACATATATCAATGCCAACTCTCCCTTGCCCGCATCACGAGCCGCTTGTCGAAATTGGAGCAGGGAGGGTTCAAACGATGTACACATGGGACACCATCCGGCAGCCATATAGTAGGCAACCCGTTTGCCACTCAACAGTTCGGAATAGTGTTCGGAGGAGAGCTCGTTTCCTTCGGGATCGAGGAGACGGCGTGGAAGAGACGACACGGCAGCATCGCTGGCGGTGCTACCGGTACTACTAAAGAGACGGACGGGGCGAAAATGAGAGGAGGGAGGGAGCGTCTTGACCGCCAAGAAAGCAGTGGCCAGGGGAGCTGCGACCAGCAACGAACCGACAGGGCGTGATAAGAGAGTCCTAAAGTTGAGCATTGCCTTGATTACTAAGTCTCCTTCTAAGTCTCCTTGAGTTGTTGGTAGTTGAAAGAGGGTTTCGATGTTGCGATGAGCAACAAGGGGAGTGACAGGTCAATGAAGAATCACGTGTTGTTTTCACAAAAATGAGGATGACGTCACAGAGTTCCAAGTGGAATCTTACGTCAACTGGCGGGTGCAGATAAGCCACCAAACTGGCTTTCCCAAAAATGAGGAGGACGTCACAGAAAGCTCAATAAGTCTTCTGCGTCCAAACTGGCCAGGATATTCTTCGAAGTGGGATCACACAAACTGCATGAATGGTGTTGACTGGCTGGCAGTCCCTTTCTAGTAGCTAGCTTTTATCCCCGGCCGCACCGCACTTCCATTGCAGCAAGACCCGCATTGACGGTACCACCCGAATAATAGCATCGATCAGATCGGCTCGTAGATGGAAGTGTTTTGCTCCATTGCTCGAGACGATTTGAGGGTCGCTGTAGCAGTCGTGCAATTTCGGGATAAGGGCGACCAAAAAACTTGGTGTGTCATAAAAAGGAAAATCAAGAAATCACAAAAATGAAAGAAGGCGAAGAGGAAAAAGAAGACAAGTCTGGGCCAAACAGACGTCCAACGTTGGATGACCCTGACGAACTGATGAAGATGCTAGCCAAAAGACAACGGGACGAAGAGTTGGGATTGGCAGGAAATACTGAACAAGAGCAAGACGAGGAAAATTCCAACAACACACTCTCGGCTTCCAAGCCAGCGGCATCCGCAGCAATGCCAGAAAATAGCACTGGAAACGAAAGCAAAGGCAGCAGTGGGGATGAAACCAAGACGGCCTCTGCAGCTTCCGACAGAGGCCACACGAAGGAAAGGAAGCAGCCGGCAAACAAGAACAGCAACCAAAATATACCAGCGGCGACTCCTCGACGATTGACTTTGGACGACCCAAATGAATTGGCCAAAATGATTGCCAAGCGACAGCTGCACGATGACGAAAATTCCACTTGTCCGGTTGCAGACAATATGCCACAAGCATCAGTGGCACGAATCCCCGAATCAGCTTCAGATGGAGCCTCGAATCCAGCACGTGCCGCAAAGCATCCTCGTGGAAATGGTCCCACGGCAACAACACCAGGGGCGTACCAAAAAGCCCCAGGCGAGGCACTCACTCGCAACGACAGGTTCCGATTCTCACTGTTTGCCCACAATAGCGCCCCGCCATCTAACGACGACGATAGAGGTTCTGCGAGTAAACCCGAAGCAAACACCAACCAACAGCAGGTGGACCGAGACCACCTAGAAATGCGAAAAGCAATGGTTGACACGCTGGGGCTGAACGGCTCATGGAAAAGTTCCGTGATTTCCGTTGGAAATAATAGACTCGGCAATCCTCGTCTCGAATCCATCTCTGATGCTGATGTCCCTGGAGATGAAGAAGCCCCCCCGCCATCCCGGCAACTACAAGAAGGATCATCGAGTCAATCCACCATGGAGCCAGCCGCTGGCAGGACAACTTCCAGTAGTCACAGTCAGCAGTCTCAGAGCAACGGCGATGACAACAACTCACAAGCTTCGCGAGACGGCTTTTTGATTGAAGCCACACTGGTGCGATCCAAAAGAGAGTCCACGAGCAGTGAAATGGTGTTCGAAGCAGCACCAGCAGGTGCGTCTGATTTGGCTTGCGCATTTGTCAGACGACCACTGGGAATGGCCATGGTGGCTCTGGTTCTGGCCGGGATGATTGCAATGATAGTAGGGGTGGTGGTGGCAAGTAGGAGTGGTGGCACCTCGGCTCCAACGGCAGCACCATCTATGTCTCCTACACAAGCGCCTACTGTAGAGTTTGTTGGGGAGTTTCTCCCTGTCTTCACAAGGGAAGCAATCAGGAACGACCCAGATTCCCCTCAGGCATTGGCTTGGGATTGGATCATGAAAGATCCAGGATTGAACGAGATTGAGCCGGAACGAAAATTTGTCAGGTTTGCTCTAGCAGTGTTCTTCTACTCGACAAATGGCGACCAATGGGATGAGTCATCACTTTGGCTTTCCTATGACGATCATGAGTGTGATTGGGCAACGAATGATAGACTTGGGATGTGCAACAGTGACGGAAAAGTGGCAACACTGGACTTGGAACGGAATTCAATCCGGGGGGTGCGTTTTGAACCTTGAGGAGATAGCGGGGTCTGATCTCGGTGTCTCCGCTGAACGAACGTGGCGTGTGCATGCTGCATGCAGCATTGCTTTGTCTTTTGCTCTCAGCTCGAGTCTAACCATCTGTTTCCAATTCTGCCTTTTTTAGACGATCCCTCCTGAGATCTCCTTGCTGAAAGATCTTGTCCAGTTAGACTTGCGTGACAACAACTTGGAGGGAACCATCACATCAGAGTTTGGCATGCTCCCAGAGCTAATAACGCTTCTGTTGTCAACTAACCAAATTGCGGGTAAGATTCCAACTCAGCTTGGCAACCTCTCGACACTCCAAGAACTGTTTCTTGCGGACAACAGACTCCAAGGAGCAATTCCGTCAGAACTGGGAAGGCTTGGACACCTCAAAAGGATCCGACTTGACGTTAACTCTCTGTCGGGGAGTATCCCCAGTGAGCTGGGGCTCGCTTTGCAACTGACAAGGATAGGTAAGTCTTCCACTCGCTTGCCTTGATAGTACCACCTCCAAGTAAACTCAAACACTTTCTGGTTTGTTTCAGACGTCAGTATGACAAGCCTCACTGGTTTATTGCCAACACAGCTAGGCATGTTGAGACATGCCCAATTCCTTGATATAAGGAGCACACTTGTTAAAGGAGAAATCCCAACAGAGTTCGGTCTTCTACAAGATTTGACTAATCTTGATTTAGGTGAATGTATTGGCCTGAATGGTACATTGCCTACAGAGTTTGGACTATTGAGAAAGCTGGACTCACTTCACTTAAACAATCTTCAGCTGCTCTCTGGGTCTTCTGTGAATCCTGGAAGGTTGGGAGGGGCTATCCCTTCGGAGCTCTTTCGGTTGACGAACCTTCGGGTGCTGGATTTGGAGAACAGCCATTTCAGTGGTGCCATTCCCACCGAGATTGGGTTTTCATCAAAGCTGAGCACATTGCTTCTTAACAACTGTCCAATCACCTCCACTCTGCCTAGTGAAATGGGTTTGCTTCAACAGTAAGTCATTGGACCTAAAGCATCGGTGTTTCAGTGTTGTATGTGATTCTCATCAGGACGTGCCTGTGGTTATTTAAAAGGATCAAGAATCTTGATCTAAGTGGCTTGCAGATCAGTGGCCCGCTTCCCAGTGAATTGGGTCAGCTCCCCTTAGAGACACTGCGGCTATCCAACCTTGTGAGATTGTCTGGACCCCTTCCATCAGATCTTTTGAACAACAGGAATCTTATGGATCTTGGAATATCTTCCTGCAGATTGACTGGGACCCTGCCAACTGAAATTGGCCTTGCTACAATGATGACTTCCCTGTCCATTTCTCACGTAAACATGAATGGCACCCTCCCAGCAGAGCTATGGTCTCTAACCAGTGTTTCAAACCTCGAGATTTCTAGTGTTTCCTTTTCTGGGATGATTCCAAGCGTAATCTCGATGACTTCCCTGGTGAGTCTAGACCTGTCAAACACACAATTTGAGGGTTCTCTGCCTTCAGAAATAGCTTTGCTTCAAAACTTGGTAAGTTCATGTTCTGGTCGGCTTGCTGTGGAAACAACATTCTCACCCCAATCGATTTAGACTTCCTTGAACTTGGCATACAATTCCAATCTTACTGGGAGTCTGCCAGCAACATTCCGCAAGAGTCAGCTGGAATCCTTGACTTTAGATGCAACAAGCCTGACCAGTGTTTTCAGTCCTAGCCTTCCTGAAAGCCTCAAGACCCTTTCACTCAGAGAACTGGACCTGAATAGTAGCATACCATCATGGATTGGACAACGGACAGAGTTACGATCGCTTGCTCTGTACAATTCATCTTTATTTGGAACTATTCCAACAAATGGTACGTCGTCAAATTTCCAACTCAGCCTTTTGGGAAGATCTTCGACTAACTCCTGCTTCTTTTCCTTCTAGTGGGTCTCTTGACTTCATTGACCAGGTTGATTCTTTGGGACAATCAGTTGACTGGGAAAATTCCAAGCGAGCTTGGCCTGATGTCTTCTATTCAAACCCTTGACTTGGACAACAACTTATTGACGGGGACAGTGCCCTTGGAACTGCTGAGCGTGTCAAGCCTCCAAATATTGTATGTGAGTGGGAACCCTTGGTTGACAGGTGAAATCCCTTCTGAGGTTTGTGAAGGAGATGGAGAGCCACGTGTTTCGGTTGACTGTGAAAATGTTACTTGCTTGGATTGTTGCAGTTGCTAGCTAGTGCCATGAACACCACTTCGAGTATTGACCTAGGAAATAGCTCAACTAGACTGTCTGTGACTGATGACTGATTGACTGCTTTCCCTCTCCCCTGCAAGCATTGCAAGCAGGAGAAAACGAGCACCCGCTTCCAATGAAAGACAAACAAACAGGTTGGAGTCTTTGAACAGCAATCCGTGCTTGTCATCGTGCTAGCTGGTGCTCAGAATTGGATGTCACGCATCTCTGGTTTCTAGATTAGGGAAGATATTTACGGACCGGTGAGGGGCCAGGCTTAGACAAATAAGAGGTGGAATTTGGGACTATTGTTTTAGCTTCAGTGGGATCTGGGGAGACAAATTGAGGACCAATACGGTGGCCAAACAGCTTGACTTTGTGGGATCAACAGAGGCAGAAGTTAATGTCAATCTGATGCGGTACCAAACCAACAACTATTCTCCACTCTGGCAGGCCACGTTCGCCGGAAATGCTGATATTGTACAGTACGCTTCTTGCTGCAGAACAGCGCGGACTTTGGAAATACAACCTCATGCCGAAGATGGATTTACACGGCTGCTTCAGGCTCAAAGGCACAAATCGAGTCGAGTCAAGGCGGGTGTTATTGCAATATTGGCCGTACGGTAGCCGTTGGAGACGACGAAGGGCAAAGTGGATTGCATGCGGCATTGCAATGCACCGGCTCCATCATGAGGGTGGATGTCGTCAAGTTTTTGGTCGAGAAGATTGGAGTGGATGTCAACTAGGTCCGGATAAAGACGGAAGAGCTGCTCTTCATTACTTGGTTTCAAACATCAGAGTGGCTATTCGCCCGAGAATGCAGCAATCATCAGCTACCGGTACCGTACTTGGTGGTGGAGCATGGAAGCAATTTGGATGCCCAAGATTATGTCAACGGATACACATCACTGCACTTGGCTTGCATTCCTGCATTTGGAAATACCATTATGACAGATCCAATAAGGCAGACCTGGTGGGGCGTCTGGTCAAGAATTTGGGAGCTAATGTCGACGCGGAAGATGGCGCTGAGAAGACAGCTCTCGACGTGGGCAAACGACAACCTAAAAGTCTTTAATAATACTGTGCCAACAACCGTCGCAGCACTTCACAATCTAGACATCGAAGGGAAAGCAGAGTGAGGACACAACCGCTGACGGATCCGATTCTCTTCTCTTTTCCAAGCATTTGGTCCTCGGGCACCTGCCCACTGTCACCGTACGGTAGCTTTCCAATGGCGGGAGTTGCAATGCTGTTCCTGGCAGTGGTTGTCGTTTTCTTGAGTCGGCGCTCTTCCAAGGCATTGGCCAGGTATCCCAACACACTGCAAGCACATGCATCTTCTCTGCATCGAATGCACGGCAGATTTTGTAGCACAACAACTCACTTGTAACGAAGATGTGAGCCCAATGAACAAGACGCTTCCAAGCCAGAGGCGCACCGGCCATCCTCACGGCGTTGTGTTTCCTGCCGCATTGTGTGGGTGCCTTCGAAGACTGCACTCTCTTGTTCTATCCTGGACGTACCTGCGTCGACACGGGCGGGGCTGCAGCACATCAGGACGTACAGTACCTGCGACACCTGCACTGACCAAGACGGTTGTCGTTGCAGTCGCAGCAATTACGATTGTCAATTTTTCGGCGGCACCTCAACCTGTGTGGTGGGCGACCTCAGCTGCAGTGGCTTTGCGACGAGTTGCAGTTCTTACGCCACACACAAAGCGAGTGTCAGAGGTCAGAGCCCAACCCGGTGGGAGTGGCTCGACGAATCACCCGATCCCGACGGAAATTGCACCGGCTTGCTACGCGCTGTTGACAGCTCTACTCTGCCTCCAGTAGTTTGGATTCTGGGAAGTACAAGCACGCACGCTCGACACATTCCAAGACGTCTGCGAATAATGATCTAGTGGGATGTACTTGTCGCCGTAATGGCTTTGAATGCACAAGTCTACCGAATGTGACCAACACCTGCAAGGTGAAGTGATTTGCAATGGAGCGCCACCTAGCTAGTTGCAGTTCTCGAAGTACCGAGTCGTCTTGCGAAAGCGTGGTAGGATGCCGTTGGTTGGCGGGATCTGGCGTCCCAACCCAAACCCAGGCCTTCCTTGAGGCCCAGGACCTATGCCCCTGCGATTCTGGCGACAGAGCGGGCAAGGACTTTTATGGAGGAGAATTGGGCCGCAACCCGATGCAAAGAAGTAACGCAACAAACACGACACTTCTTCAGTGCAAGTAACGAATGATAGTGCCTCGGACTCGGAAGTTGGGAGCCGTGAATATCAATCGGGCAGAAGAAAACTTTGGACGTTGCCGATGGAAACATGATTGTCGCCTTGCCCCAGAAACTTTGGCCTGTGGACTACGGCGCAGCATATATATCTTGTTGCCAAGACACAAGAGTCCCGGCGCTGCACCGGAAGGCCCTCGTGGATCCCGGCGTCGAAACCAAAGCGCTCCTAAACCAACCACCACAAGATGGGAACAACAAATTGTTCAGTAACTTTGAGTTTAATAGACGCGACGAATGGCATGGGTATAGAATGCCCTCCCTTGCTTTGCTTGCTGAGCATCCTCGAGCCATGCACTGGCTCAGATACTAGCTAGTGTGGAATGTTGTGGCTAGCTAGTCGCGCCTCTGTGTTTTCTGGCCTTATATCATCCGGCTTCCAGCACCGAACGGAACCGTGGAAAATTCAAAGCACAGTTGTTACTTCACCCATAGGCATCCCGTCTCTCTAGCCAGAGCCTGAAACTTAGACAATCACCCCGTTGTGTCCGGCTTTCATAGCAAGGTTAAGTTGCTGGCTAGCACAGCATTCGGAAGAAGAGGACCTCCATGCAGGACGGACAATACTTTATCCAGTTCCGAAAGATTGGCATGTATCCTCCTCCTGTATACATCATGCCTGAGAGTAGAGCAATTTCGGCAGTAGTTCGTGTCCTTGGCATCCAGCTGATACCAGTCATTCGAGTTGCCCAATGGAGTTCCACCATGATTTGTTGAGGCAGCCAATAGGAAGGTGTATGGTGTGCTGTGCTGTTTGCTCCATCACTGGGCTTGGAGATGATTGCGATTTCATCATTGCTGTTGGCTTGTTGAATCATAGATGAAAAGACATCAAACTCAAATCCTTCCACATCAATTTTGAACATCATAGGTGGTGCCTGCAGTTGAGCCTTTTGGACAATGTCAAAGTAGGTAATGAAATGCCGTCCGTGTTCATCCTTTCGCTCCACTCCATCGATGCAGTAGTTGTAGAATCGAATGTCGTCTCTGTCTGGTTTTCTCTTGGGTGTACCATTCTGGAGGGTACAATCAAAGGTGTGGGTAATGCATCCGGGCATGATTGTGACTACTTCCAGCTCAAACTTCCAATTGTCATTGCCACCAATACTGATGATGTGACAATCATTCTTCCTGCTACTGTCTTGGTCCATTGCTGACAAACGCCGTATTTGCTTGTTGGTTTCATTTTTCTTTGTTTTCATGGGCTGGCAGTACCATTTGGTGTCACCATTCACTGTTTCCCCAATTCTGAGCAAGTTCGGACAATCCAAATCCTTTGGTCCCAGAGAATAATCCCATCGTTCAATGGTGTCAGTTGGATCTGCAACCTCCAATAAACGTCCTCCATGAATCAATGGATGTGTTTTTGGTTTGTACTCTCCAGGTAGTGGACGTCCATAGCCTCCTCGAGGGTCATAGTTCTGAGCATAATAGGACTTGAGATATTGGGTAACATCTTGTGTTCCTTGTTCTTCAGTCATTCCTTTGGGAATAAAGGTGGCACCCAGTTTTTTCAGTGTGGCATCAATATTCCCGTCCAAGAGATTTTGCACAGATTTCAAGTTTCCCCCTTTAGTGTGGAATAGTCTTGCTTGTGCAATGGAATTTTCCAATGCCTTTTCCTCAAAGTAGTCCATCGTCTGGTCACAGTAAGGTCGAAGTTCTCCTCGTGCGTTCGCCGGTCCTTCACTCACCGACACTGATGGCTTCAGAGAGTCAGACTGGTTGTTGATCACGCTGAGGTAAGGTGTTCCTTTCAACTGCAGCCAGAACACAAGCACTGCAGTACATGCAAATACCCCCAATAAGATCATTGGTCCTTTGAACAGCCTACCATCTGTACCAGAGCGCTTATCACGAACTCGAACACGGCCAGACATGGCAACAACCCAGTTGAGGGGAGCGAAGGGAGTGGACTACCGGTATGTGTAGGAATGGACTCCAGAGGTCTGGGACAGCATGAACAAAAACAATTCGGACTCTTCTTTGCCTAACTTAGCCTCGCCCTCGCTCTGAAACCACCCATGCCGTCTCGTCCACAATAAAGAAGTGAAGAGCGCGAGTTCCAAAAATTTCATCGCCGATTGATTGAAGGTGGCGAGCTGAGCCGCTACCGTGTACTAGTACTTTGTAGAAAAGTGAGCTACTAGTACTCTAGTATGCATCTATTTTGCAATGCTACGTGTATCTACAACCGTACGGTACTGGTAGTAGCCACTGGCAAAAGTTGAATTTGGCCTGTTTTAATTATTTGACGATTTCGACAGCTTAGAATTTCTAAAATTTAGAAAAGCACGGTGCAATTCAGTTTCCGATGTTCCGATGTAGCTATTTACTAGTTACTGGTGTCTGGTGCATGGATCAACACTTTCTTCAAAAGCAAGTCCACTATTTCACCCAAATCGCCATTTGTTTTAACAATTGTTTAAGCAAACTTCATCACTTTTGCCAATTTTAACAGTTGCCCTTTCCCAACCAGGACCCATGATGCAGAGTGCAATCCGAGTCCAAGCCAAAGGTGGTCGTCCGTACCGGTACTGGTACCGGGACGCCGTAATACATGGGTGCCCTTGATCTCTTCCACTAGTCTTCCCCCCTTGCTCCTCCATGCCCCCCCCCCACCTTGCCTCAACTCTCTCTTTGGTTTTGCTGCTGCTCTGCTCACTTGATCGATTGTGCATCGTGCTCTCTCCCTGCGCCCCCTCCTCACAATAGTTCCCTCTAAGCCATAGTAACCACTCCTCGTAAATACATGTATGATCCATCCGCAATATATGGTTTCCTTTTGCTCCTTCAGCACCTGTGGCTATGAGGCAAAATATAAACAATCAAAGGGGAGAAAGTCATGGAGGGACGACGCAACTTTGCAAGTAGTGCGACACCAGGACATTCCCATCATGACTACAAGGTGGGGCAAACAACAAGCATGGGCTTAACTTCGCGTTGGTTCCAGCAAAAAGTGTCTAGTCTACTCTTCTCTAATCGGTATCTTTCGTTCCGGTCTACTATAGTACCGTGGCGGCATGTCATACAGTACAGTTAGTTGTGAAGTGCCAGCCACGGACGGAAACATTCGAAGCTCGTTCCACGTAATCAATCGTCATGAGCATCAGTGTATGTACCAGTTGTATACAACTTGAATCAAACTGTCGTGTTTTTTCGTCGTTTTCGTGACGATAGTTCTGTGGCTACGCAATGGAGGGTTGGTAGTGTAATATTGCAAGGTGGTGTAGTTGTCGTGGTCTTCTCCGACCGTGTAAGGATGCTCGACCCGCTCGTTGCTTCGACACCAACCGCTGTGATGTTGGCGGACTCCTTGATCGTCCACGAGCGTCCCAGCTTGGATCGGATAGATGCCTCTTCGTTCACGCCAACATCCGCCAATCCCATATCTTGTGCCTGTGCCTGTGGTTGTGCGTCGTTTCGTTCTTAGCAGCGTCACACGAGACACCATAATCCTAGTCAAGGAGAAGAAGGAGACACAGGCCATGGCGGCGACGCGAAAGGAATTGGGTACGACCTCAAAGATGGCCATGTCGGGTCGGCGGGGACCCACAATCGAAAGTATCGCCAGAGTGGTTTCGTGGCACGGGTGATAGTATCATCCAATATCTCCGCATGGCTTCCTTGTGAGAGTACCCATAGCACAATGCACGAAAGAGGAATCCCACAGGCAATTCCAAGAGCGTGAATTGGACAAAGGCATTTTAAAAGCCCGGTGGGGGCGACCTGTGCCAAGGAGCCGGAAGTACGGGCAGACGCGGGAGTAAATGTAGAAGGCGACAACACCGTGTAACAGGCAAAGGTTACGCTTCGGTAGAGATCCTTTCTCTTGGCAATCGTGTCGTCATCTTGAAGTTGTAACTGTTTTGGGGCTACCGAATCAGCCGCGCTGGCCTTGATCCCACAGGTGCGTGCATTTGCAAGATACTGTACCCGTAGGGAGACTACTTGGTAAACGCATCAATAGCAGCCGAGGCAGAGAGTCCTTCCAGACTCGTAGAAGAAGTTTTCTTCTTGTGGAAGGTGGTCATTCTGGACGGATGGCAGCAGATGGACGACAAGACAATTGGAAGCCATTCACAGTGGAAGTGCCCGCTAACAAGAAGACCGTACAAGTCGAACGAAACATCATCTTGTTTCTATTAGTGTTGTTGGAATTGGATTGTGAGACCAAGAAAAACATCCACAAGGCAGCAGATATATGTTTACTCAGACTGTGGGTCATGCGTAAGCTTATGGCAGAGCAAGATTTCCAAACCGCAGATTCGTTGCCCGTTCTGACAATCGCCCCCAGAGAAATGCGATGGCACTGTCATTGCAGCTAGCCTCCATGTTGTACAATCACTTCCAGCTTTCCTAGCAGGTTGCTGGCTAGCAGAGTGTTCTGAAGTAGAGGACCTCCATGCAGGATGGACAATACTTTATCCAATTTCGAAAGATTGGCATGTATCCTCCTCCTGTATACATCATGCCTGAGAGCAGAGCAATTTCGGCAGTAGTTCGTGTCCTTGGCATCCAGCTGATACCAGTCATTCGAGTTGCCCAATGGAGTTCTACCATAATTTGTTGAGGCAGCCAATAGGAAGGTGGATGGTGTGCTTTTGCTCCATCACTGGTCTTTGAGATAATTGTGATTTCATCATTGCTGTTGGCTTGTTGAATCATAGATGAAAAGACATCAAACTCAAATCCTTCCACATCAATTTTAAACATGATGGGTGGTGCCTGAAGTTGAGCCTTTTGGACAATGTCAAAGTAGGTAATGAAATGCCGTCCGTGTTCATCCTTTCGCTCCACTCCATCGATGCAGTAGTTGTAGAATCGAATGTCATCTCTGTCTGGTTTTCTCTTGGGTGTACCATTCCGAAGGGTGCAGTCAAAGGTGTGGGTAATGCATCCAGGCATGACTGTGACTACTTCCAGCTCGAACATCCAATTGTCATTTCCGCCAATACTGATTATGTGGCAATCATTCTTCCTGCTACTGTCTTTGTCCATTGCTGACAAACGACGGATATGCTTGTTGGTTTCATTTTTCTTTGTTTGCATGGGCTGGCAGTACCATTTGGTGCCATCTTTCCCCCTTTCCCCCATTCTGAGCAAGTTCGGACACTCCAAATCCTTTGGTCCCAGAGAATAATCCCATCGTTCAATGGTGCCAATTGGATCTGCAACCTCCAATAAACGTCCTTCATGAATCAATGGGTGGTTTTTTGGTTTGTACTCTCCAGGAAGTGGACGTCCATAGCCTCCTCGAGGGTCATAGTTCTGAGCATAATAGGACTTGAGATATTGGGTAACATCTTGTGTTCCTTGTTCTTCAGTCATTCCTTTGGGAATAAAGGTGGCACCCAGTTTTTTCAGTGTGGCATCAATATTCCCGTCCAAGAGATTTTGCACAGATTTCAAGTTTCCACCTTGAGTGTGGAATAGTCTTGCTTGTGCGATGGCATTTTCCAATGCCTTTTCCTCAAAGTAGTCCATCATTCCGTCACAGTAAGGTCGAAGTTCTCCACGTGCGCTCGGCGGTCCTTCGCTCACTGACACCGATAGTTCCAGAGAGTCAGACTGGTTGTTAGTCACACTGAGGTAAGGTGTTCCTTTGAGCTGCAGCGAGAACACAAGCACTGAAGTACATGTAAATACCCACAATAAGATCATTGGTCGTTCGGACAACCTATTGGCACATGTACCCTCTGTACCAGAGCTCTTATCACGAACTCGAACACGGCCAGACATGGCGTCGAAACAGTGTAAGGGTGGCAACAGAAGCATGAATAGTGGACACTACATGAACGAGTGAAAGATTGGAGGAGGGGAGTTCGAGAAATTTGATGGACGATTTGATATCCTGAATTTGGCGTTTTCGTTTTCGTCGGAGCCTCAGCCATTATGATCGAATCGAATCGAATCTGTATGTACCACTCCAACACTCCAACCATTTTGCCATTACCGCTACGAGCCAGAACCAGAAGCTTTCGCGGTTTCTTCTAGACTAACTCTAGCTAGCTAGAGCTACCCTCTAACTAGCTACCGGTATGATAGAGTTACGGGTTACTAGCCAGTCTACTAGCTAGTACTGTACAGTATGGGTTGGACATCAAATAAATGACCATCCGTCACATACGTACATGCGTACATGTAGGATACGTTTACGGTTAACAGCTGCCAGACACGTCATCATGGTGCCTACCCCTAATGGTAGTTTGAATAGCAGTTACAAGGATGGAGTTAATAAAAAAGAGGCTAGGCCGAAGGCGCAATGACTGGGGACTCAACGCTTGGGACTGGTGGAATCCAATTGCGGTGAGATTTCGATGTTTCGTCGAACAGCAGCCAAAATCGAAAGTAGCCGTGCCAATTTGCCTGGAGGAGGAGGGTCGATAACGTGAGAGTAAATAGGATCAATAACGACAAGCAAGCAACTACCAGAAGACCCAGCTCCAGCCAAACAGGTCGTTCGAGTTGCCTAGCCTAGAGTCAGTCAGTCAGTTAGTTAGTAGTCCAAGATGGTGGATATCTTTTTGATCATTGTGACATTGGTGGCATTCATCATTTTGACGGTTGTCGCTTTGTATCTGTTGGTCCACTACCAGCATCCTGATGACAAGAATGAAGCCTATTTACCGAAGTTTGTAGTGATATTTGGGTTTGTCTTGGCTGGAGCTACTGTATTGATGCTACCCTTGGATGTCGCCAACAATGAGGGATATGCCGGTAAGTAGTAGAAGATACCCACCACACCGAGCACGAGTCGAGTCGCTCAGTAAAGTCAACCTCTTTTATGCGGTTATCTAACTCTTCTTACCATTATTATCATCAGGATGTGCGGGTTATGATACCAGTTTCTGTGGGGGCCTCAACATGGAAATCATGTGGTCGATTGTATTTTGGGCCATTCCGATTTGGGTATTTGTCTTGATTCCCTTCTCCACGTTTTACTATGAAGCCGATGATGGTATGCTCATGGCAGGAACCAGTTATCAACCCGATGGAGCTCCCAAATCCAAAATTGCTTCGGCTTGCTGCTATCAATTGTTTGTATTCATCATTGTCGGAGGCATTTTTGGCGCCTCCTACTTTATCTTTAGCGAAACCAACATTCCCGTTCGGAGCTACGAAGGAGCCAGATTGCTCAATGGATTCACAGATACCGTCACTCCACGACGAAATTTAACCACCGGTGAACTATTGACCTTTTCGTCACATCAATTGGAGCCCATGACACAGACCGATGTCAATTACTTCAAGTCCGTCGCCAATGAGGGAATTGTCGAACTCACACTCACCGTATCGGTCTCCAACTTTTATGCCGGCCTCATGGCATTCTTTGGGTGGTTCCTATTTGCCATTTTTGGAGGCGTTGGGTTGGCCGCCATGCCCCTCGATCTTATCATGATGTACATCAAACGTCCTCGCCATTTGGACGCGCAGGAATTTCAAGAATTGCAAACCAGTCTCCGAGAACGCACCAACGAATTGGTCGATATCGGGGAACTCATCAAGATTGAAAGAGAAGAAAAGGCACAGTTGGGATTGACCAGTGGATGGGGGGCCACCATGTTTGATTCCGAAAAACGAAAGGAAGCTCGAGACGAACGACAAGCCATTCTGGGATTCAAGCAAGCCGTGTACTTATTGGAACAGGACGTGGACGACTTTCAAGCCTGTCATGCCAATTATGAAAACTACAATCCCTTGATCCCCTACATTGCCTTGGTTTGTGGACTCCTCTCTGTCATTATCTCCGTTATGTGGTTCCTGCACATTGTCATTTACGTGCTACCATCGCCGCCACTACGACCGTTTCTCAACAATTTCTTTGGATGGTTTGACAAGTGGTTTCCCCTCTTTGGTGTTTTGAGTGTCGCAATCTTTACAGTGTATTTGCTACTCTGCGCCATCAAGGGTTGCTTCAAGCTTGGAATGCGCTTCTTGTGCATGACGTTACATCCCATGACACCAGGCAAGACCTACATGAGTTCCTTCATGTTCAACATTGGATTGGTGTTATTGTGTGCCCTGCCCGTGGTGCAGTTTTGCAGCACGGCCTTTGCCGACTATGCCAAGTATGCCACCATTCGACAGATCTTTGGAGTCCAGATTGAATACCTGAATTTCTTCTCCTTCTTTTGGAAGAATGATGTTTTCATCTTTGCCTTTTTGATCATCATGCTCTTGACATCGGTCTACTTGGCCTGCAAACCGGCCGATCAGGCCACCAATTCCCAAGCCTTGCGAGATCGGCTCAATTCACGAAGAAGTTAGAATGTACGTATGTTGGATCGTCGAGAGAAACAACACCGCAAAACTTCTGGCATACACCACAAGATTTCCGTTTGTTGTGTGATGGATAGCATCAGACTTGCAAAGAATAGCAAACAATGAATCAATGAATCATCACGCAAATAGTAAACGGATTATACATATCATATATCATTTCCTAGAATGACTTGGCATGGCTTGGCACAGTTGGATGGAAACGTGGAGTGGGACTTGCTAGATAGCAGTGTGGCTTGGCTAGAAAGTAGGACGTACAGTGCCGTTGTGTCTTCCGAATCTTGCAGTTTGACTGGTCTCGTACCTCCTGATAATCAAGAAATGCTACATGGACGATACGAGCCCGCCCCTGCGTTTCGCCCGCAACCAGCAGGGAAATTATTCAATCCACCAACGCAATTAATTATGCAGGGTACCCGAACAGTGTTGCGGTTTGATCAGAGTTGAGTAAAATATTCAACAGGATCAGGTCCTCCACAAGTATATTGTATCCTTGACGTGAAAATTGTCTCCGTCGCCCATAAGAGTTCTATTCTAGCTAGTAGTCAACCTCTGCATGTTCAGTCCTAACCATCCATACCGATCTGTATGTGGCTGACCGCAGAAAAGACGTTGCAAATGAAAGGACGATGATGGATCTGAGTTTCTACAAAGCCATCTGTCAAGGCGTCAACTAACCAACTAACCAACTAAGATAGCATCCTGTACCTCCTCGCGTCCTTCCCATCTAGCTAGCTACCGGTACCTCATTGATACTAATAATTATCAACGAAGCACATTTGTATAGCTAAGAAGTTATCGAATGTGCAGCAATTAGCTGCTCCGATATGATGTAGGTGGTTAGCATACTTGCCTTTCACGCAGGATACCAGGGTTCGAGTCCCTGTATCGGAATTCTTTTGTGTGTTGTCTAGACGCAGTTGGGAGGTTTCGAGTGGCCTTTTTTAGAGAAAGCGAAGGTGATCCACAAGTACCGTACCTCGCATCCATTGCACGATTTTTGGCCACTCCGGTACCAGCCAAACGAGTGAGGTTCTTGCATCATTCCGGTGTGATACCGGTATATGGTTCAAAGTTTGGCTAGCAGAATCCTTGTAATCGGAAGCTAGATGCCATTGCGGTGTACCACGCTGTTTCATTTTGGTTCTTGGCAGCAGCTCACAGCTCAGTCAGTCCAGGAAAGGATTGTTTTGGCTGATTCTGTATGTTTGATGTAGATGAGTTTGACGATGCCAAGTCTTTGCATCATACCGAAAACAACTTTCAGTGAGTGAGTATGTTGTAGGATCGTTCACACTGTCTTCGATCAGTACCGTGCCAGCCACCCTCCTGCGGAGTCGAGTCGAGTCCGTCTACCGAAATCTTTTGCAGTGGAACGGCCAACACTGCCGCATGATGCAGGTCTGCCGTACGGTACGACATGCTGCAACGAAATTCTGCCTCGTTTGCATAGCACAGGAGATATCATCAGGTACGATGGTGCATGACTACCCAATGTGAAGTTGGCTAGGATCAGCATTACGGGCAGCAGGCCCATTTTCGTGAGCAACATACTATACAATATATTTGCAACTTGATGCCTGCATCCTCTGTAAGGTTGCGCTGCTTGGGTTTCAAGTTGCCTGCAGAGAACTGGAAACAATGATCAACACTCGCATGGTGCGCGAGGACATACACTGTAAGTACCAATACACAGAACCATGAAACAATAATACCGTGACCACAAATACAACGTGCGCGAAGAAATGCTGCATATGATGCAACAAGGACAGCACCTACTACTACTAGTACGTAAAAGATAACAACTTAAACATAAATGGTAACAACACAAGCGGCAGCTAAAGTCAGATGCAGATCCCGATCGTTCACAGGAGCAACAAAAAGATAGCTCCGTCACAGGGAATCGAACCCTGGTCTCCCGCGTGACAGGCGGGGATACTAGCCACTATACTATGACGGAAGAATTTGATTTGCTTGCTGCTGTGGTCCCACTTTGTTTGACTTAGTAACTATTTCAAAGTCCGGTTACCAATCTCAAAGCACAAAGCCTCTGGTTTCTTTACCAGTGGACCTTTCAGCAGCTGTAGTCTAATCAATCGTTCCTATCGTTTCAAGATGAACAATGAGAAGGATCACTAGCAATCCACAGTCAACAAAATCTCGACGGTCACGATCATCGCAATTGAGAAAAAGGATGTTTGCGAATCTGGTATGATTGCAGACTCGGAATGACATCTACAAGAGTACTCTTGGTGCCTTGTTCAACAGCCTGGGACCATGTTATTTTGCCGAGAATACCGGTGCCGTAGTGTGGAAGCTCAGTTGAAGAACCGCACTACATCCAAGACCAATCACACTCTACGGTAGGTAAGAAGGGGTTGTGTGAGCCTAAGAGTAGTACCAGAGCTACTCGCACCATTCGACGTCTCTGTGTCCTTTGAATATCGACGTGCAACAGTTTTAGTATCAGCTGCTTATTGTTTATGTATATTGGTGGGAACGAGAGAAAACAGGGGTTTGTTGCTGACTTCCAAGCATTGGAGGTGACCAAGAAGCTCCCTGCTGCTGAAACTATTTATTTCAAATCCAGGAGTTTCAATGACGATCCCAGCTTGGTGCAAGGATGGAATCACAGTGATAGAACAACAACGTCAAACCATCTTTTGCTTCATCACAGCTTTTGTGGCTTGCTGCTGGGTTGCATATGCCCATTAATTTCTTGTTGTGGTTGTGCTTGACAACTTATTTTACAGAAGAAAAGACATGGAGCACATTGCAACCGAGGCCGCAACGAGCCCCATCATTGGCGTTCTCTTACCAATCCCTGATCCATTGGTGGTTTCCATGGCACCTCCTTCAACGGCATTGAGTGTGAATTGTGAATAGGCATAATCCGAGACAGTTCCCTGATTGCGCACGACGACCGTCACATCCAAGGGTAGACTGCCGGCTTCTTCGGTGATTTTCAAAAGACCCTTGACACTGGTTTTGTCCACATTGTCGATATGGGTCAATCCTCCCACATTTTCATTTGCGACACAGACCGTCTTTGCCACTTTGATCGATCCGGCATCACCGTCGGCTACCCGGAGTGCCTCGGTGGTATCAATAGCGAGGGTATTATTCCCCGCGTTTCCTCCACCTCCCAAGCGGAACAAGAAACCACGAAATGGAGCTTCTCCCATCAATTCCAATGTATGGTCCACTCCAATCGGAACGTCCACGGGGGTATCGGGCGACAACACATTTCCATTCAACAACACTTTCAATTGGGCGGCGTTTTCACTCAGGGGTCCGTTGGTCTGCTCCGATTTGCCCAGGTGCGATCCTCCCACAGCGGCTTCACCCGCCGGACACGCGGAAGCTCCAGTGGGAAGAGCTACCACAGCGTTGGGGAGGGAAGCAAAAATAATCGCCACGACAAGGCCAAAAGTACGGGTCGATATCATCATTTTCAACAAAGCTCCTCTGCTGGTCTTTTTCTTGGTAACAGATAGTACTAAGAGTTTTGTGAACTGCTGATTGTGAGCTTCTTCTATTTCGATGAATCAGTGGCGGGTGCTTGCTTGGAGTCAAAGAGATGAAGGCTATTGAGAAAGCATAGCAATCGTGCAGAACTAACACTCTGTTAGTTAGTTGTGGCAACTGAAACTTGGAGGGAAGGCTCTTTCACAACTCACAGAACTATCTTCCCCTTGTGACGTGGGGGCCCGTTTCTGACGTTGTAAAATGTTTCTCCGAACTACACAAGGGAAAGGGATAAATGGCGAACGAAAAGGAGCATCTGAATGCATCTAATAGTATCTCGGCACGGGGCAACAACTTGCATAGCTTGCCAAGGCTTGGAGCCACTAAGGCTTGCTTGTAAGCTCCCACGTTCACTCCCTAGCTAGCTAGCTGGCTGGATAGTTGGCCGCCCAAAAGCTTTGCCGGAGCCTTGTGCAGTTGCTGGTTGCATTGCGATTGCTCGGGTTGGAGCTTTGTGCTTCCTGTTTCAGAGTGGTGTGGTGTGGTGTGGTGTGCTGGCCCTCCTGATGTAGTTCACCATTTTCGCTCGCTGCTAGCTCTAGCTAGTAGGCTGGAGGATCGCGTGGGCGCTCTCCGTAGCCTCCAGTACGCTTCTTACAGGCAAATCGACAGAAGTCTATGGGCTTTTCTGTACGATCTACACCTTTCGACGGTCACGAAGCTCTATCTAGGCATCATTCAAGACATCATGGATCTCAGATACCACCACACTGCATGGCAGGCCGAGGTTTCATCCCTTCTACTATTTGGAGACTTCAACCCATATCCTTGCATGGAAAGCAAGGTGCAGAGCTGTCTTTGATCATGTACCACATATTTTTACTGCGATCCCCGCATATGCTTGTATGAGACTATCGCGTGGTTAATCATCAGGAACTCAGGGAAGATTTGCAAAGAATGTAAGCTTTGAATACACGCTGTGCTGTAAGGAGACGCAGGCAGATTTGCTTTGCTTTGTGGCGTGCAATTGGTGCGTCTCACTCCTATTTGTCCCAGTAATTGCGGAATCACAAACGATTCAACGATGCTTGTTTCGGGCGTAGCTTGCCACATCATCTTGGCAGCATTGAACTGCATCGCCAGCACTATCGGAGTCGGGATCCTGAACATGCCCAGTGCAGTTGCCCAGGTCGGATTGGTACCCGGAACTGTGATCTTTCTCTTTGGCATCTTAGGATCTCTTCTTACGGGTTTGCAGCTCTATGAGCTCACCGAGGTTTATGTTTTCCTTCCCTTGAGGGACAACGGCACGCAGCGCAGTATTGAAGAGGCCGTTGCCACTAACGACCCTGAAGCCGATCGTTTGTTGGAATCTCGCCGACAAGACACTCCCCAAGCCCCGGTCACGAGGATTCCGTACCTCCAGATTGCCTTCAAGTTGTTTGGGCAGCCCGGAATGGTCATCGTGTTGGTGGCCATGGTCTGCACGGCCATTGGAGCCAACTGCGTTTGCCTCATTGCGGTTGCGGACAACTTGGAAAACATCTGGGAGGAGTGGTCCAAACGAGCAGTGATCTGTGTTGTCTCCGCAGCAGCTCTCATGTTCTCGTTCCTCTTTGGCAGTCTTAAGGAATCTGCTCCTCTTGCTTTATTGCAGTGGCTGCTACCTTTTTGGGCATTTGCTTGGTTTGGACGCCTATCCACGAGTTCAAGCCAGAGGACGGCCCGCCCCCCACGCCGCAGCTCACCTTTGCCACTTTGGTAAAGACGTTCGGGTCAATTCTGTTCTCCTTTGCTGGGCACACCGGCTATCCAACGTATCACGCCCAGATGAGGGAGGATCATCAACACTTCAAGGCGTCCCTCCTTGGCACTTACGAATACATGGGCATCATGTTGATTCCTTTTGCCTTCGTCACACCTCATTTGTGGGGTACCGGTAAGTAGTTTGTCCAGTCGCGTCGTGTCCTGTGCTTTGCAACCCCTACCGTACCTGATGATGTAATCCTCACGCGTTTTGCTGATAGCGGTGGCCGACAACCTTCTCTCTTCCCTCCCTCCCAACTCCACCGTCTATGCCATCAACATTCTCATTACCATTCACATTTTCTTTGCAATTTCGCCCTGGGTGATGCCCCTGAGCGACCTCCTAAACTTCGTCGTGTTTCACCACTTCCAAGCCCCGAACTTGGAACATCACCAGTACATCTTCCCCATCTGCGTTCAAGCCGTTGCTTGTCTCGTTGCGATTGCCTTTGCAGACTCTTTCGCCGTTGTCATGTCCTTCATGGGCGCGACATTCATGGCATGCCTCACCTTCGTCTTTCCTTCAATTCTCTACATGACACACCTCCGCAACAAAGGCGGCTACACTACGGATCCCTGGGGATTCGCGTGCCACGGGTTGGCTTCATTCCTCATTGTGGCAGGCGGTGTTCTTGCCTTGGTGTTTACTCTCTACTTTACGGCTGTTGACATGCTAAACACTAAGGCCGGGGGGGATTAACTTGAATCATTGAGTTTGCCAGATTCGACGGACTTGAGCAACAGCGTCCGACGAACGCTCAATGAGGCATGATTGGATCCTTCGTTGACCAAAGAATATACATATTTGTTACAGAAGAAAATCAGATGAACGAAGTACATAGGAATAAGAATATGAACATCGTAGCAGTTCAAGTTTGACGATGCCACTGTGCTAGTATTCTTTGGTCTTTTTTCATATTCAAAACTGGGGGCTTTCATAGGTCTTTCATTTATTCAACACTAGCTGGGGCCATTTACAGTGCTTGACTCGGGAAAGTTGCTGGCATTCACCAAATCGTGTCCCAATTCACACATTCGTCCCATTGAAAGGATGGCCAATTCAGCACATGTCATGTCCTGTCCTGTCCCAACATCCCTTGACGAGCTTCAGAGGGGCACCGACCCCCATTGGGGCATAGTTTGCATCCAGAGTGAACTTTTGTACAAGTTCACGGTCACGGCCAGGAGGGAGAAGGGGGCTCCACCTCCAGCTATAGGCTGAGTTCTAGTGGTTAGTGTAGTACCTGGTGTCGGCTCTAAGGGTCCTGGAGTTCCAGTTGTTGGTGTTGGGCCAGGGGTTCTTTCAATTGTTCGGGTCCTGGCGTCGGCCAACTATAAAAGCCATGCGGTTGCACCTTTCCAGACTGCATACGACGAAACAGATACGTTCTGGCTTTCACTCATTCTTCATCAAGTTTATAGTTTCAATCTCATATCTATCCTTCTATTCCACTGCTTCTTAGTTGGAGGACGAGCCTCCACGAAGTCCACGACTGCGGGTACTAGTAGGACCGTAGAACGACTCTGCTTGGGTTCGACGGCGGCTGCACTCACCTTGTGAGGTAGATTGCAAGTCGACAGCAATGAAAGTTCCCTGTGGACTGATTGAGTTGCCATCATTCAGCTTGATGTAACCACACCAGGGAGTGTCAGGAATTGGTTCAGCTTCAATAGCTTGCGTAGGAATGCAGTTTGACGATTCCTCCAAGTGAGCCATGGTGAAGTAGACTGAGTCTCCTTGTTCAAACCCAACTGTGGTATACCTGACACTTTCGATTTTGCCAGTAAAGGCATAGGTCGTCACACAACCCGAAGTACCAAGCTTCTCCGTGAAAGGAATCTCAACCAAGAGAAGTTCATCGTAAGGTTGTCCTGTGGCATGAGCCGTTGGCGCCATAGTGGGTGACAGTGTAGGACAAGCAGTAGGATAGTCGGCTTGGAGAGATTCTCCAGAGGCTGCCAGCTCTAAAGGAGCCTCAGGGCTGCTGCCCTTGTCGAGCCAGGCATTGCCACACCAACCGGGGGACACTTGTGTCGGGTTGGAGGGTCCAGTGTAGCCTTGACATTGACTGTCATCGTAGTGAATGTAGTATGTGTAGAATTCAATGGAATCACCGGGATTGACATCGCCCTTGGTAACTTGCACCACAGTGGCATCTACAAGGTACTGTGTTCGGCAGGGATCGTTGCCCCCAACCATTGATTCCACTAGGTCCACCGAGATGAGCAGCTGTTCATCGGCGTTAGCCTTTTCTTGGTCAAGAGTACCTTGTGCAATTACCAATTTTCGTGTTTGCAGTGTGTCAAATGTACGGGTTGCAAGGGCGCTGGTGGACAAGGTGACCGCGGAAAGGATCCAGACCATGAGTGAAGTGTTGCAGATGAATGTCATTGTGCTTCGTCGCTGTGCGTTCTATTCTGAAGGTTGAGTCAGTCGTTCTGTTGGAGTGCGAATATTGGGCTGTGTTGGCGATCAGCTAGAGTACGATCTATTTAGTTGATTTATTGTTTTGTTGGTTGCTTCGGTGTTGCTTTGCTTTGCTTTGCTTTTGTGAGATCTCCACACCAGAAACGAAGCTCGTGATCGGACGAGAGAGGTGATAACTCGCGGAGATTTAATCAGCCAAGAGCCATGCATGACTCGACTCAAAAAGTGTGCATGGAGGTAGCTGGTACCAGGGTACGGGATGCAACATCTACCATGAGCTCTTGGATGATGTGGGGTTTAGAGTAGCTCTTGGATTGCGATAATGGTGGCCCTCTCAGATCTTTATGGCCACTCCTTGCCCCCCCATTCCCCTTCCCCGGCCTCCTTCCTTGCGCTCCATCCTTACCTCCTTCGGTTGGTCTGCTCGATCTTGGCTTTCGCTCGGGCTAAAAATCTGGCACAGAGCAGAGCATTCCACCTCTGGCGTCCATTCCACCCAATACGGCTCCCCACATCTTGTAATTAAATCAAGGGGGTTTTAGTCGATTCGATTCTTCAGCCACACTTAGTTGCCAGAACTCGATTGCAGGCAAACCTCCTTTGTTGCTTGTAGTCCGTACAACATACAACAGGAACTCAAACAAGTCATGGCACCACTCTTATGCATAGTAGCTCTTATGTGCGTGATCAACAGCATGTCGACACAGAAACTTTGCTTTCAAGACAATGGGGCCATCACGTCACCCATCACCTATGCATACCTGCCTGACGACCCGAGCCACAGTTGGAGTGTACTTTTGCTTTGGCTTCGACACTATCCCATCAATCTTCCTTTCTCTGCTCCTAGCCGATTAGTGAAGCTAGCCCAACAACTACTATACTGTACCAGTCAACAACTACTACATTATTTTACTATTTGAGTCCATGACTGCGTGAGTATTGGCTCACTTGGGACGGTTCCCATCCAGCATTTTTCAGCATGTCCTTGTCATTCATTTCGTACACTTGCACAGTCAGAGGGTACACCACAGGCTCTCCACCCCCACCGCACGCCAAGCTAACATCACCTTGGGGGCAGGTACTGGCAGCTACTCGTAGATCCGTTTCCGCTAAGAATTCAATGTAATCACCCACTTGGACCGGACTGTGTGTGAGTGTGGGAGCAACAAGCAAGAAACGTAAGAGCGCGGAACCACAAGGGAGGACCCACATTTATTTTCTCAAGAAAATACTGCTAATCTTCTCACCTTGGCTTGGTAAAGTACTGATGGGTGTCATGGGTAAATCCAGTGCACATGAACACGTTGAGCACGTCGTGAACGTGCTCTTCGGCCAATGATCCAGAATCGATACAGGCACGGGTCAGATTGGAATGGCAGCAATGGTGGAATTCTTCTCCCTCTGTCATCAAATGATGGGTGTATGGATCGCAACGACTGCCAATGACATCATGGACACCAGCCCCATCTTCGTCCCATCCATAGGCAATGGTATCGTGTACAATGGTACAGAGTGGTCGTAGATAGGGCATGTTACTCCAGAGACGATCTCCCGTGGTCAAGTGCGATGCATGTATCTGACGTGTTTTGGAGGAATAAAAATGTTCCTTTGGATTGCTCAAGGACCAGCAATTCATGTCGGCGACCTGGAATTCAACAAAAAATGGATAAATTTTGAGATTGGTCCAGAACTGAATGAATCAACAATTTGTCCTGTGCTGATGTTCTCTCACCTGTGGGCCATGACTGCAAATGATCCGAAAGAGTTGTCCTTGTTGCACGTCCCAATATTTGGCATCACGAGCTGGAATTTCCAGTTCCTGCACGAGCTTGGCCTTGTTGTTGGCCACCAGAGTGCCCAATTCCGAGTAGAGCGCCTCGCCACCTTTCTTGGGAGGAATCTGATCGACGGCATAACACGGAATGGGTTTGGTAGCTCGCGTCAATGCTCGTCGCGCGGCAATTTCGGCAGCCGTGGCAATCTTGGCAGCGGGGGTAGATGACATGGTTGTTGGGTGTTGGTTGTAGTAGTGAATAAATAAATTCAGAAAGCAACAAGCAAAAAGGATCCACACAAGGAAGGAGCTGTAATTGAACAGATAGATGTGGAAGAGCTATCGAATTTGCTCAGGCAATCATTTTATGGTTGCGGCAGAGCAATGGAACGCTTTCGCTTCACAAAATAAAAGCATCATGGGCGAAACTACAAGTTGATGATACAAAGAACCGTTGGTTGATGTCTGGATGTTGTAGAAAAATCTCCCGGCGAAATGGAAATCCAATGGCGCGCGCGATCGCAAGAATTCTTGGAGGCGCAGCCGACACGATTCGTCGCGAGAGCGCGCGCCAGCGGATTTTAGGCCAAGATCGAAGATCCAGTCAAGATCAAGGCCGTCAATGAGGCGGGAGGTCTTTGTGAGTAATCTACTTGACAACAGACCCGAGTAATAACAATAAAGCCCTACTGTTAGAGAGTACTGCCCATCATGTCTTCACCCCCCGAAGAACCGTGGGAGGAGAACACCCAATCACCACTTCTTGATGATCGCGAAGATGAGTTCAACCTTCCTCCGGTGGAAACCAGTAGCAGTAGCGAGGAAGAGGAAGAGGAAGAGGATGATGATGAAGGAGAAGAAGAAGACCAATATGAAGAAGAGGCCAGTCGTCCTGTCATGACTCAAGGAACCAGCTTTGTTGTGGCAAGTATGTTGGCACTTGGCTCTGACTCCAACCTCAGCTTTGGTAATCCTCCACCAGCTCCAGCCAGAGTCTCCTTGTCACCTCAAAATCCAACTCAAAACCCAGCCACAGCCTCAACAACAGAGGAAGAAGAAACTCCAACAAAGGAAAATCCGCCAAAGAATGCAGCCATTTCAATGAAAAGTGCTGCTGAAATTGCCTCTGCCCTTGGATCTGGTCGGGATTTTACATCCTTGGACTTGACAGAGAAAGAGCAAAAGCTTCTTGATGACTGCAAGGACGTGGGAAGACGAGGAAGAAAGCACGAGAAGAAATGTGAGAGTCTTCAAAAGCGATTCTTCGGTACAATCCGAGATCATGGAGGTTCCGTTTTGGCCAGCCTTCTTGAGATTGTTCCCGTCACTTACGACCAAGGGCTGTCCACTGACTTCGCCTTTTTCAATGTCGTGTGTGGAGAAAAAGATGGAAACAAGCACAAAATCCTGAATTATTGTTCCATCTTGTGTGGAATGAAGTGGTTGTGTTTGTCTGGAAGCAACAAAGGAAAACCGCTCTCTCCGACCGTCTTCACCCAATACATCAACAACGTGTTTGGCGAGTGGAAGAAAAAGACTCACGACAAGTTTCTGTACTCCTTCAAAGAGGATTTCAACGCCAAAGGAGACTTCCACGGTGTCATGATTCAATTTTGGGCGGAAATCCGCAGGGGAGATCCAACGTTTGGAATTCGCAGTCATAAATCGGAGATTGATTGGGAAGCGGACAAGAAAATCCGCGAAGCTGTCAAAGACGGACGACTCCAACCGTGGAAAAATCCGCTTCATCTCCAATTCGTCTGTGTGTTCCACCTTGGTCGATCTTTTTTCTTCGGGGTGGTAAGGAAATGTCCGAGCTCATGATGCGTGATACTTATTCCGGAATGTACACTCGCGAGATGGGCGACCTGGCTGGATGTTGCATTGGCAATCCGACTGCCCGAGACAAGACCAACGACTGAGCTTCTACAAATCTGGAGCTCTTGCGGACAAAGATCGCTGGTTGGAAATCGTCGAGAATCCGCGAGATCCACTCTGTGCGTTCAAGTGTTTCGACTTCTACCTGTCCAAGTGTCATCCAGAAGCGGAGAAATTCTTTGCCAAGATTGCCTCTAGCAAGCAGAAGAAGGAATACAAGAAGTATTTCACAACCATCAAGTGCATGGGAACAAGTACCAGGATCGAGACATTTGGTTCCAACCGTCAGGGGAAACTGCTCAGTACAACCTAGGCCAAACAATGTCTCCAAGAAGGCCAAGGAACTCGGTGCTGTATTGGAGTCAATAATCTTGAGAAATTCACAAACCATGGGCTTCGTGCATATGGAATCACCAAGATGCATCAAGCTCGGGTTCCCATGGCTGCTCGATTGAAATTCGCCCGCCACAAATGCGAACAGAGTCAAATCCCTTATGCACGTCTCGTAGATGAAGGTCGATCGACTGCTTCAAGGCGTTTGTGTGTTTCCGATAAGGACTTGGCGGTGGAATCCGAAGATGAAGATGGAAATCCACGGCCTCCTTGACGAACCATGGAGGTAGAATCCGATGATGGTGGCGGTAAGCCGCGCGCAAAGCGAGTCTCGAAGCGCCAAGCGCAAAAAGAAAAGGATGCTTCGTGGAAAAAGTCGAGCAAGCCCAAGAAGACTGCGTCCGCCAAGAAGAGAGTGCCGGAGGAGATCTTGACTCAAGATTCGGACGATGAAGAAGAGGCGTCCTTGTTGACCGAAGATCCATCCGTCATTCCAGACGACAAGGTGTTGAAGAAGATGACGAAGAAGCAATTGCTCGAGTTGGTCCAGGCTCAGGCGGCGGCTTCGACCGCAAGTGTTGCGTCCGCTCCTGTGGTGGCTGGTGTGCCGTTGTTTCCGTGGCAGGATCTCATCAATCCGTGGCGCGGCTCCAGTTGCGGTGGCTCCCGCTGCAGTGCCTCCAGTTGCGACAAATCGAGTATTCGCTCAACCGCCAGCAGCAGCTCCCTTGGTTGGGCGAATCAAGTCATGGATCAACGAATGTATCAACAGCAACCGATGCACATGCAAATCCAGCCGCAGCCTCAGTACTCGATTCCGATGCCAATGAATTGGAGTCAAATGGTGGCGATGCAGCAACAAGCAACCATGATGCAGAATTTTATGGTGCCACAACCACAGCAGTATGTGTATCCGCAGTTTCAGCAATCAGCTCCAGATGCAGATGCAGCCAGCCCCACAGATGCAGCAACCGCCGACTGCACAAATCCAACAGGCGCCACAGATGCAATCCCAGCAGGAGATATGGCTGCGAGATGCCCAAGGGAATTTCTTTCCTGCCAACCAGAATCAGAATGGACCGAACGGACCGGCATTTGGATGAGTCAGAACGCCATGGTGGGGTATTATTTGTAGGGCCATTGAAATCATTTCGAGTGAAGAAGAAGGGCATAGGTATCCTTTTGGCTTTGTGGCTGTGAAAATAATGAGGAAATATGAAGAATCGATTGGTGGTTTGTAACTTGCGAGGTTGGGTGTTCTCATTTTGATCGTTCCGGATCCGTCTGTTTGACCCCTCTTAACGTTCCGTTTGATAATTACCCTACATATTAGAAACAATTACATTTTTCCATCATCTGGTACAACAAATACGCATAGGAATTGTATCAGAATGTGGGAAAACCTATTTGCTTCTGAAAAATGGTTTAGTTCGATTAATCCCACAAACTGATGCACATTGCCCAAATTTTATCACATGTTCACGGAAACGTTCCCATGATCGTACATGCTCTCCAAAGTGACGATTGTTGCTGTGCAACCATTGATACCCTGTTTTGTGTGGTTGAATAGTGTGGTGGGTGGCATCAAAATCGCCACAGCAACAATAAATCCATTGAATCGTATCTATTCCATACTCAACGAACAAACATGTTTCGAAATCCGGTGAGAATCTTCCGAAAATCCAACGAACGTCCGATGAGACATCCCTTATACAAATCTCCAGAATCCGTGAAATGGGATTGTACTGTATTCGTACAGTGGATCATCCCGGTAACAGGATTTCTGAGTAACGGCCTCACGATTCAAATGATTTTCAAAAATCAGTGACGCATGTAAAAATTACTATAGAGACATCAGTAGGAAAATCCAATCGGATTCTGACATCAGGCCGTTACCGGCAATTTCAATCCTGTATGTAAGATTTCGAAATCCGAATCGGCCTATCGAGTTAAATAAGACGGGGATTTCGACCGTTGAGAACTTCTACAGTAGAAAGTGTACCAGAGCTACGAGGGTGTTGCCGGGTGGATTACAAAAAATGAGGGACGCGTACGTGGCGGGAGGCCAATCTTCCTCCAAAGATTTTGTCGGAAGATCCAAAAGCCTCACAAAGATCCAGTCACACTTCTGGAATTCCGGAGCGTAAGATCCAAAAGATACACAGATCCAGTGTAATCTTCCGCGGCGAAGAGCTCGGCCAAGAACATCACGTCACTTTTTCAGTTAGTTGTTGCCAGTCTAATTTCCTTTCACTTGGATCTTTGACCCACTTTTATTGCTGCAAACAGAGCTAGTTGGTTATTATTGTTCACCATGAAGGTCCTTGCTCAAGCCACCAAAATGTATCTCCGCCAAGCGGCGCCACGCACGGTTGCTCGCTGCAGCTTGTCCACTTTGGCCACTAGTACGACAACAGCAACTTCTCCACTGGCAGCATCCTGCTCTTGCCCCTGTGGACCCAACTGTCGTTGTGGTCCCACCTGCAGCTGTAGTAGTAGTTTGGGCAAAAAGACAAATACAAAGATCACTCGCCGTTCCATGTCCACCATGGATGATCTCAAGACCGGAACGGAAGCTTACATGGGATTGTATCCGGAAGCGAGTACCGATGGAGCCTTGCGTTTGGGAAACATCATTCCCGATTTTGCCTGCGAAACAACGCATGGATACTGGGAATCCTTTCATGAATGGAAAAAGGGCAAGTGGGCCATTCTCTTTAGTCATCCTGCCGATTTCACGCCGGTTTGTACCACTGAAATTGGACGTTTGGCCTCAAGTACGATACTTGGAGTCATGGATTGCTTGGTGGCGACACTCTCGGTAGATCCCGTCAAGAGTCACAACGATTGGTTACAGGATGTGGTAGCTCATTGTGAAAACAAAATTGAGGTGAGTTTTGGTAATGCTCAATTGTTGATTACAGTATTAAAGAAAAAGAAGATGGCTGGGAAACACCTCCATCTTTGTGCTGACCTGGATTCTTCGATGTTTGACAGGTCAAATTCCCCATTATTGGAGATGCGGATCGAAAAGTTAGTACTGCTTTTGGAATGCTCGATGAGAAAACATCGGATGATCAAGAATTGCCCTTGACTATTCGTGCAGTTTTCATTATCAATCCTGGTACGTTCAGACGAAAAAAAACGTTTGCTAGGGTATTTTGGGGCTCCTCTTTCCATTTCTGTCTAACTGATTCTTTCTTTCTTTCATATTATTTGACTGAAGAAAACAAGCTCATGCTGTCGCTCAACTACCCCGCATGTGTGGGTCGCAACATGGACGAAATTGTTCGTTGTGTGGAAGCACTCCAGCTCAGCTATGAAAAGTCCATTGCCACTCCGGCCAACTGGCCCAACAACCACGAAGAAATCTTGATGCCCGATGGTAGTCACAGCTCGGAATACAAGGGATCCGTCTTTTTGTTGCCCACAGTCTCGGAGGAAGAAGCCAATGAACGGTATCCTGGTTTTCACACGTGCGATGTGCCTTCCAAAATCCCCTACTTGCGATTGGTCAAGGCGGAAGACGTTGAGAAATAATAAAACAAATACTACGGTATGTGTGACGTGATGAGGAAAAAAAAAGAAGATCTTTATTGCACGGAGCAAGTTTTTGAATTACGTAGGTAGTCAAGAGTTTTGGTAAGCACAATTTTGATAGGAATAACTTACGGTAGGGGTCTTTAGTCCCAGGAAGAGGAATACCGGTCGAGTAGGACCTAATTGGCCAACGAGTACATGTAGCTCGTCCCGTTGGGTTGCCAGCAAGATGTCAAAACTTTGCTTGGTATCCGTTGCAACTGGGCTATGTCTTGCTACTTTGTCCACATTCTTTACATCATTGTTCTATCTTGTCTCTCGCTACCAGGTACCGGTCAGCTGAACACATAGGATGCCATTGATTTTCTCCACCCCCCTGATAATGGGGAAGAATGCTGGGTAATTCAATCGTTCTACGAATGGTACCGGGCAACTTCCGTTGGATCCCGTAGGTGGATTCTCTACGTGAGCTCGGCTTGGTCCGCGCCTCATTTTCCGATCAAACTTTCACAACAACCGGCACCGGCCTAACTTCTTCTTTTCTCATTACTTTGTGGTGGCCATCTCCACGAAGACAAGCTTAGCACCATACTACCGTTGAGCAGCACCATGACATCTATCTTGCTTCGATCTACTTTGCTTTTGCTGGCATGCAGCTCCGTTTCGGCTAGTCCCACTGGGGCATCAGCTTGTCCTGGAGGAGAGGCTGCTGTGGGAGGAACTCACCTCACTGCTGCCGATTTGAAAACTGGCACCTTGGAGGAATCTCCGCAGGGTTTGAAGGTTCAGCTCAATGGTGCTGACTTGGTTCCTGGCATACCAGGCATATTTTTCGGTGGAGAAGAGGCTACCATCAGCTTGACCGGAACAGCAGATTTCAAGGGATTTCTGTTGCGGTTGGACGGCGCCGTCTTCGATGCAGCTGATGTAACATATGGATTTGATCCTTCCGAGGAGGACGAGATCCAACAAGCCGCTGTGTGCACAGGAGGAGCGGAAGGATGGACTCATACCAACAACAGTCCCAAGTCCACTGTGTCGGTTTCTATTACGTTGGGCGCAGCTAGATCTGATTTGAGGTTGGATGTGACGGTTGTTATTAGCAACAGTGCGGGTGTTTCGGAGTACTACTACACTGGATACGATCTCAGTGCTCCCGCTCGTGCCGATTGGGAAGGTGATGGTGATCTGCTGGCTGCTGGAGATCCCAATGCAACGGCACCTGCGGCACCGACCGACTCAGAACCTGGAAATGGCACTACCGCAGCACCAGATTCTTCCAGTACCACAGCACCAGATTCTTCTAGTACCACAGCACCAGATGCTTCTGCCGCCAGCATTTTGACTACTGGATGGGTGACAACGTTTATTGGAGGGCTCTTTGCCATGGTGATGTAAATTCCGTCCATTCGATCTGTTTTTGTTGTCAATTGAGAAGAGCCGAGAATGAAGTTAGTTCGCCTGTCTTTTTCACTTGGGGAAGTACTGTTCAAGTATATTCCAAGTCTGTCACCTGTGAAGTTTCTATTGCCGTACAAGAGCAGACGCTATAATAACGTACCTTAAACCCAGCTCCACCTTATGCCCCCGAAGCATTTTAGAAAAAGAAACACAGGTGGCAGTATACAGGAGTTTTCCTGAGCTAACTTTCCTTTCCAGGTTGTCTCATCTTCTGCTGTAAGCAACCAAATTGTAGCATGTATTGGAAGTGCTCAATTGGCAAGACCAGTACGCTATCAGCCAAGTAGGCAACTATCGTCGGGTAACTAGCTATTTTAAAATAGGTTTAGGTTGAGTCACCGTAAGGGTACGGTTTTACAGACTGACGATTGTCACTCATTGAGCTCAGTACTAGTACCGGTACTGTAGGGGTTGCCGGCCGTGGAATGAAGCTGATGCATTTCACAGATGGAGGATTCTCCGCAGTCTTACAATACGTTGTGTTAGAGATCTTTCATGCTGTGACTGACTGGCGCCACAAAGGAATACATGTGGTGGCCCATGCCCAGAAAAGGCAAAATCTGGCTCGTAAATATCGTCACGCCTCAAGCAGGATTGTGATGCTTGGACAGTAACTGTTGCTCTTGAGGCATTTTGCGTGGAAGGGTCCGTATCAGTTTGTTTGGAGCGCTTTTGCTGCTCATGAACTTCGGAGCTTCGATCAATTCCTCTTTTGCCTTTGTCTTCCTCCATCTTGGTTCTGTTATCGGTTCTGGCTCAGTATTGGATAGCGATTACTAGCTAGCTAGTAGGTTGTGTTTAGTCTACTGTTGCTGCGGAACTTAATGCTGCGGCCTGGCTGCATTGCTTCCATGTTTTCCACGATCTGCACTCGTCACTGTTTGCCAACACAGAGTATCGAACTGCGGAGCGTGGAGATGGGCATTGCCGGGTGATTCAATCGTTCCACGAATGATACCGGGCAGGTTCCGTTGGAGCGTTGGAGCCTTTTTTAATCAGCATTGGCCAGGTCCGCGTTTCATTTTTCGGAGAAGTTCTTCCAGTCTCATTTTTTTGGCTGGCCATTCTTCCTAACAAGACAATAAGAAGAACCGTACCCGTCCTCTCCATAGCCCCTCTAAAGTAACACCTCTCCTTGTTACTACTATCCCGTTTATCAGCACCATGACATCTCTCTTGCTTCGATCCACTTTGCTTTTGTTGGCATGCAGCTCTGTTTCGGCTAGTCCCACTGGGGCATCAGCTTGTCCCGGAGGAGAGGCTGCTGTGGGATCAACTCACATCACTGCTGCCGATTTGAAAAACGGCACCTTGGAGGAATCTCCTCAGGGTTTGAAGGTTCAGCTCAATGGTGCCGACTTGGTCCCTGGCACACCAGGCATCTTTAACGCCGGAGAAGAGGCTGAGATCGCCTTGGTTGGAACGGCAGATTTCAAGGGATTTCTATTTCGCTTTGATGCTGAGCTTCTCTCTGATGTTCTCATTAGTTTTGGAACTCCAGAAGCCGAGACTGCTGAGATCCAACCTGCCTCTGTGTGCACAGGACGACCTTCTGGAATGACTCATACCAACAACAATCCCAAATCCACTACGACATTTACTGTTGAGGTGGAAGCACCAGTACCTGATATGACTTTGGATGTGACGGTTGTTATTGTCAACAGTGCAGGTGTATCGGAGTACTACTACACTGAATACATGCTCAGTGCTGACGCTGCTCCGGAAGGAGATGATGGTGATGCTGCTGGAGATGCCAATGCGACGGCACCTGAGGAACCGATGGAATCAGAACCTGCCCCCGCAGATGGAAATGGCACCACTGCAGCACCAGATTCTTCTAGCACCACAGCACCAGATTCTTCTAGTACCACGGCACCAGATTCTCCTGGTACCACAGCACCAGATTCGTCTGCCACCAGCATTGTGACTACTGGATGGGTGACAACGTTTATTGGAGGGCTCTTTGCCATGGTGATGTAAATTCCATCCATTTGTTCTGTAATTTGTGTTGCTTGGGAAGAGCCGAGAATGAAGTTAATTTGCCTGTCTTTTTCACTTGTGTAATTCTGTTGAAGTATTCCAAGTCTTTCACCTGTGAAGTTTTCTATGGTCGTGTAAGATCAGACCCTAATAATGAAAACCCAGCTCCACCTGTTATCCCCCCGAAGCTTTTTAGAAAAAGAGGCAGAACAGTGGCGGTACAGTTGTAGCAGGAAATTCCTGACCTCAACTGGCCAGGTTGCCTCATCTTGTCGTAACACCAAACCAAATCTTCTATTCTACTAGTAGAAGATTGTCAGCTCCCCAATGGCGAGCTTCACCATTGGCAAGCAACTTCCAATAGCTACCGTTATACAGCGTACTAGTACTAGCTTAGGTTGAGTTGCACTGTACGGTACTAGTACGGTTGCGGATTGAGGGCTGACTCGACTCTTCACTTGTGGAGCTTGGCACCGCAATAAATCGGAAGCACAATTGGAGGACGATAGTTATTTAGATGAGCATTTACTTAAAATTTATGCTTTAGTTTAAAAATTGCCCAAATTGTAGCGAAAAAACGCACAGAATCTTGTTTCTTCTAGACCAATGCGGACACAAACATTTTGCTCGACTCACACTCCTCCGCAGGACAGCACTCTCATTTGTACAGCAGTCTCCTCCATATTTTCTCTTCGTTGCAAAACAAACTCGAGGAGAACACTGCTGGTTCAGCCATAGCACTATCAAGCCATCACTATCTTATCAATCGTCATTGGAGTACCATGAGCACCGCTAGTGGAACGAACGATGGAGCCTTGGCTATGGCTGTGGCTTTCAGCGATGGGCAGGAAGGAAAGCGTCAAAGAGAATCATTCGAATCCAGCCCCGACTTTGAAATCTTTTGCCGTTTGATGAGTTTCTTCTGGCTCTCACACGCAGGCTTTGGCCAAGAAACTTGCTGCTCTTGGTGTTGGGAATCTTGGCGACTTGTCTCTCGTGCAGGAGGCTGATGTCGAGGATTTGCCGGTGGCTCTTCGCCAGAAATTGCTTGGTCTCGGCCAGTACGTGGACACGAAAGCAAGGCTCGCACTGCTGGGAATGTCGGGAGAAATCGAAGAGGAGTTGGCTAAATTGAACAAAAATCACGTCGCTGCCAAGACGGAAAGCAACAATGACACGGCGCTCTCTGCTAGCTCTGGTGCCATCCATTTGGATGTTGGCGGGTTTCATTTTACGACTACAAAGGAAACTCTCTGCCGCGTCGAAGGGTCTGTGCTTGAAGCCATGTTTTCGGGTCGCCATGACAAACCAGCCATACTTGACAATGGACGGTTTGTCATTGATCGCCCTGGAGAAAATTTTCATCATATGCTGCAGTTTCTACGCACGGGAAGTGTCGTGTCCTTGCCGAGCGACCATGAGACACGCGAGGCCCTGACATTGGAAGCCGATTACTACGGCATTCAGGCCATCGCTCGCGCTTGTCGACAGCCTTTGATACATACATGGTCTTGCTTGCCAACGGATGTGCAGGAATTCTTTCGAGAGGAAGAAAAGCTTCGGGCGGCCTTCTCCGAAGAGGACCTGATCGTGGCTGATCTAGACCCTCTCAAGTATCTTGTCCCACTGTTCGGTTCAGGTGGAGAGGATTCTGTGGAGTTGCCGATCACGTTTGAGCGCACCAAAGATTGTGGCATGCAGGGTACGATCTTTACCCATCGAACGCTTCGAGAGGTTGGTAAACCGCTGACGGTCACTACGATGGATAAGTTCGTGTCAAAGTTTCACAAGACCCACCCAAATATTCTTCATCGCCTCAAGGATGTACTTGCGGAAGAACCGGTAATCGTTGCTGGTGGCTCTGTTCTTCGGGCTCTACTCTTGACGTCTTCCAAGTGGACCGGGCAGAAGAGTGATATTGATTTGTTCCAGAGGAGGCCACCGCATTGCCAAGCGCATCTACTACGCATTGGCGGTCGACGACGAGCGGTGGGTTATTGTGCGAAGCGGTGGAGTGATCACGATTCATGATTGGCGTGGAAGTTGGGCTAGCAGCACCGTGGTTGTCCAGATTGTCCTTCGTCGCTACAAGTGCCCCGCAGAAATACTGCTCGGATTCGACGTGGACAGTTGTTGCTGCGCCTATGACGGCAAAGATGTTTTGGTGAACTCACGATGGATTCGGGCTGTCAAGACCCAAACCAACATCATAAACCCCTTGCACGCTTGGCCCAACAAACCGTCTTACGAATTGCGTCTCGCAAAATACATGGCGCGAGGGTTTGCTATCGTTGTTCCTGCGCTTGATCAGAATCAAGTGACAGTCATCATCTATGATGCAATTGTGAAAAGCAGTCTGCCCGATCTAAAGGGACTGGCTCGGCTACTCAAGATAGTGTTCGAGTTGGACCTTGCTCGTGAATCTTCACGTGATGAATTCGAGCTGAATAGTATAACAGATTTGGGGGGGCGAGGCAATTTTCGATTGCGGCACCACTTTGTAGCAGATCTGAGCGACTGCGAAAAGCTTGTTCATGGCAAGGCACTCCAGGAATTTTTCGATGACTACCACAACGATGACAAGTTCGTCAATCGTTGTCGTGTTTATGCTCCGCTCGCACTCTTTCGTGATGAATACCGCCACGAGCCCAATTGGTGCTTGCCCGAAATGTGGGATCGCAGAATCTACAATTTCAAAAAGTCCAGCGCGAATCGGGATGAGGTCTGGCAGCAGTTTGAGGATTCCGACGGACAGGCTCCACCTGGTGTCCCCGACAAGCTCGTGGATTCTTGGCAGTCGGGCAAGTGTTCTCGGGAGTATCTCAACGCCACGGGAATCGACAAGGCTGACCTTGACAGCATCTATTATGCCCATGCTTTCGGATGTAATGACGAGTAATCGAGTTCGCACATGGACTCCGGTACCGGTACCGAAGCGTACAACTGTATGGTGCGGGCATTGATTGAACCGCTCCTGAGAGTGGACCGCATCGGAATATTGGAGCAAAACACAGTACTGGTAGACGACAAGCCGCAGATCTAACCAAAGTAGACAGGATGCAGTTTTGCATGTGTAGAAAGGAAAAACGGCTGCGACTGCCTTCCGAAGCTCTCTCCTCATAAAACCATTCGGTAGTCTAGTTATGGTAGGTTTGGCGCAAGCTGTGCTGCACACCACATGCTTGGATTCTCTCTCAGTAACCCGTAGAGGAAAGGAACCCTGCCAAACTTCTCGTAGATAGCCACTTGGTTGCTGTTGAGCAAATCAGGGAAGCGTGAGCTCAGGAAACTGACAAAGTCATTCAGATTGGTGGTGGAGAGCCTTGCGTTGCGGCGCCCAAGAGCATTCAGAACACAAAAGTATTTGATGCCTCTGTCTTCGATTGAGCCAACCACAGAGACATGAGAAACCGCAACGCTTTCCAACGTTGTATTGTGGTGCTTCAATACATTCAGCAAGCCGTTCAGCTTCTCAACATTGTCGAGGCAGCATGGCACCGCAAAGTGCTTCAACTTGTTGTTGTTGGATTGAATTGCCAAAAAGATTCGATCGTGTTGCATTTGAAAACTCGCAACCCGCAGAAATTCCAGCTTTTTGTTGCTGACTTGAGTGAGGAACGATTCCATAGCGTCGGTAATGTCACATCGAGTGCTCGTCCACCCATTACCATCCATGCAAAATCTCTCTAGCGCATCATATCCCGAAGCCGAGAGGGCAGCGCTCAACCCGTCCAAAAGGGCCATGCTCATATTCTCCGAATACACTCGTCGAAGGCTGATTGTCAATTTCACCAATTGAGTGCTCCTGGCCAGAGACTGGAGCATGATATTCCATCCCTCTATATCCAAACGAGATGCAATGTGCAATTCGACAGACTTGACTCTTTGAAATACGGACGCCAAGGCCGTGGAGTGATGTACAGCTTGCTTGCCACCACCTGAATAACTCCAGTTCACGGTACTGATTTCGTCTCCCGTTGTATCCCTCGAAGCAGTGACAATATGCTTGATTACTTCGGGTGAGTTCTGTCCTCCAAAGGCCTCTTTCAAGATAGTCAAGAATTGAGCGAAAGATGGAAATCCATTGGGAAAATAAGTTTCCAAGAGACATTGAACATCCATCAGGGCTGACGCCGATCGCCCGCTCACAAGGGCCCGAAGAGCGTGGATCGCTTGGGCTTCATCCAACGGGGGTACCTTGGACTGTATCATGAAAGCAATCACTCCTGGCTCTCGAGAGTTGGCGGAGAGCCCACACAAAGCTGGAACTGATAGGGCGTGTGCCTCCGGATATGCGTTGCAGATTGCTTGTATCGTCTTCAGCCTTGCCTTGACTCGCAACAGGAATTCCAATGGCGTCCACTCGGGGCCGAATCGATTGCGCCTGAATTTCTGGGAGACCAACTCGGGATGCTCTCGACACAAGCGGACAATCTCCTGTTCTTCTTCGACACTCAGGAAGCGGACCAGGGTGGTCTCGAAATAGCGGGAAAGCTTGGAAGATGGTGTCAATTCTTCCTCTGAAGAAGACATATTCTTTGCTTTTGTCGTTCGAAAGAGACTGTTCTACGACTGTGTAAACGTAGGACTAATGGCTGTTTCTATTGCAGTAGTGGCCGCTTGCTCTTGACCTCGATCATTGTCAACGACGGTGTCCTTTGGGGGATGTTTGGTATGGAAAAATCTGAGTTACTGGTAAAGTAGAGTACAATTTTTCCCCACAAGACTTCCCTAACTGTACAGTAAGGTCCACAGTGCCGAATTCAAAAAATGTCACTTAAACCGTTGGAGTCTTGTGGAACGATCAAAGAGTTATTCGTGGAGGTGCGTCATACCTCTATCCTCTCACATAATCGTGCTCACATTTTCGTCTCCGTCGCGAACGTCGTCAAGTCATTGGATTGGATCCTTCCTACTCAGTCAACTACAGCAAAGCTTGTACCTCATCATGCTACATACTGCTAGTCCTGAATTTAAACACTGGCTAGATATTAATACTCGCTACCCATTCAAGGAGATTCGGAAGACCAGGCAGAGCTATGAACTGAAGTATGTTTTGTTGATGGATGAAACTGACAGGGCAAACAGGTACAGTCAGTACTTTGTGCTAAAAGTAAAGTACCTTCCCAGTGTCATGATTGAGCAACTCATCATGGAAGAGAAAGCTGTGCCCATGACACCTGATATGACCTGGATTCTGGAGACCATGACTGGATGGGGAGTGAGGCAGAGCACTGAGTGGTACTGTGATGTGCTTGCTCTGCTTGCTTTGACAGTGGAGGAAGGAGATCCTGTCACAAAGAAAGAGTTGTGTGCAATGATAGTTAGACCACTTATGAGGGATGCTCTCTATAATCAGTTTGGTGTGTGGGAGTGGGAAGCCAAAGAGTTCTTACTTACAGAATGGAAGCATTGGTTTTACACTGAGTGTTGGAGGAAGCACAAACACAACTTCAGTGGGATGGTCATCAGTAGCCAGCAGTACATTATCCACAAGGCCTCTCTCACTGCCCATAATGGAGTCTATGCATACTCAATGCCCTGAAAATGTCTCATGACTGAAAAGAAAGGAAGCAACAGTTGTAAGATTGTTGTTGTTTGTTATCCAAGTAGTCAACAGTAACACCAATAAAAACATACCTTGATGTCAAACCAATTGTCCCTTCAACACATTGCCTGCTTGTTGGGTTGGTGCATGTGGGGCCAAAGTTGTCATCTTGGTGAAAGCGCTTGAGCTGCCAGCAATTTCCACAATAGTCTCTCTTGCATTGCTGGCCAACCTCCTCCTCTTGAGTGTGGTCCTTTCTCTTATGGCCACAAGTGATGCAGAACCTTCTACTCCTGAAGACTTTCCTTGGTGGTCTGAGGGGAGGATGTGGCCTTGGTTCTCTGGCTGTTGCCATGGCATAAGGCGCTACATTTCTCTGTTGGACTTGGACTCTCTCGCTCATTCCAGTAACTCTGCCAAGTGTCATTGGTGGATTCATTGTGGCAGGGTTGCCAAAGGGAGTCCTTCCACCAGCATGATGGGCATAGTTTGTTGTTGGTGCTTGGAATGGCGCTGGTGTCTGAGGCAGAGTCTGTCTAGTCTCTCTAAGACTTCCATTAAGCTCTTGCCTGTGTGGATCATTGGCATTGGGCGCTGTTGCTTGGATTGCTGCATGTTCTCGCCGCTTCTTCAAATAGTCTTCCAGCTGCTGCCGACTCTTCCTGTTGATTTGGATAACACTGTCATCGCCTTGGCTCCAAGCCTGAAAGCGACTAGCAACTTCATTATTCCAATGACGCTCGAATGCTTTGTAATTCGGCTTTCCACGTCCTTGTATGTTATAGTTGCTGTGTTCCCTTGTGAAGAAGCTCTCTTCTTCTCGATCAAGTGGAGTTGCCGCTCTGGTACTGTCTGGGTAGCGAAACGGTATCCACGGTTGCTTGTTGGAGAGCTTTGTGAAGGCTTGCAGTGTACTCTCTCTACCGTTGGTATCAGGAAGAAGCTTCGCCAGTTCGCCATAAATCTCCAACCGGTTAAGTGCATCTGCTTCACGGATGGTGGCTTCTTCAGTCAAGTTCTCCAGTTCTCTCTCGACCTCTAAATCTCCATTCTCAGTGGTCGCATTGTCAGGTTCTTCCATGTCAACCTCAACCGCCAAATCTTCTTGTTGGCGATTGGTGGAGTTATCGGTCTCATCCACTGGTTCCTCGCCGGTTACTGGTTCATCGCCAGAGTATCCATTATTATTGCCCTGGCCTTCTGTTGGATTCGATACATCATGGATGTCATCGCTGACGCGATAAGAGAAACCCATGTATTCTGGCGGACCACCGGTGTCAATGGTTGGAGCACTTATTCCTTGGAAAGGAAGATCACTGTCACTGTAACCCACCTTCTTGGCAAAGGAATTAAGCAGGAGTAGCCGCTCAGTTTCGACTGTACCGTATTCCTTATCTCCACATCGAGTGACTGCTTTTCTATGATTCCTTTCTTCAAAGAAACCTGTCATTAAGCGATCTGCCTGATGGATACCTTTCAAGAGGGACGTTGGTGTTAGATGCTTGGTTAATGGTCAACAACAGAAGGCAATGCGGAGTTAACGTACCAATGCAGGTTGCCACCAGGATGTGATAAGCGAGATCAAGGTTGTCGCGCTCATTGGTGTTGGTTCCTCTTACAAGATAAGTAATCCCTGTCACTGGGTTGCGGCGGTGAATCTTGACACTGGTTGGATCACTCAGACAATTCTTGTCAATATAGGTAAAGAGTTGCTTGATGGTATCTCTTACACATGATCCGCTTTTGAGGAAAAGCTTTGGAGATGGCTGGTCATTGCCGACATTTGGATCTCTGGTGGAGAGAATCAATTCGGTTTCAGCGTCCTTCGCCTTTATGTATTTCAACACCGCTTCCACATTCTTCTGAAGCAATGATGGCTCTGGAATCACAGCATTCGCCTCTGCCATGATTTCCTTGTGAGAGACCTCCCTTTTCTTCTTTGCTTCTACCACTGCTTTCGCTCGCTCATATTCAGCTGGCTCCACATTAAACAGAGCCCGACTGAGGAGACCCCGAAAAACACCACCAAGAGATGAGCTTTGATCCTTCAAGATGACATTCCATCTCTTCATCCAATGAAATGGATCGAGCTTCACTTCGGCCTCTGTGAAAATTCTCTGCACCGTTCGATACACTTGACAGCAGTTGTCGACATACACCAACTTCACAGCTTCAATAGGGGCTAGCTGGCCTGGATCGGGAAGTGGAGCATTATCCGGCAGAAGATCTCGCAGCACATCAATTCGACGCTGCCTTTCCTTTGCCCATGCATTCCGGTTCAACCTAAGCCTCAGCCGTTTCAAGTCAGGCTCTATCTCACTGAAAGATTCGCTGTACTTGAGGGCCTTCCAGAACACTGTAAGCCCATCCTCATTCTGAACTGTGACTATGCAGCGAAATGGACAAAAGCTCTTCCCTTGACCTGTCCACACCCGGATTTTGGATGCCAGCTTATAGTTGAAGTCAATCTTCAAGACTTCAGCGGTAAGCCCCTTCATCTTGCTCTCCTGGAATTGTTTCCGGTGTTGGAACACAGTGTTGACAATGCAGTTAATGCGATATCTGCTGATGAACCGGCCATTGTACCCCTGTTTATTGTCAAACTTCGAAAACAACGGAGGTCTTTCTCCTGCCGATCCGGTGCCTTCCTCCAAGTCGTTCGTCTCCTCTGCTTCACCATTTTCGCTGACATACTGTGCTACATTTTCAGTTGCTTCATCCAACGCGGCACCAGCAGTGGCAAGCTCTCCTTCCAAATGCTCCACCCTCTCACGGAATTTGTCATAATAGGCTGTAACTTTCAACTGCCATGCAGGGAGCAGACGCTTCAAGGGCATTGAATAGTCATCGGGGTCAACTGATTCGAGTTCTTTGGTGGAATTAATATCAGCGGCAAGGAGTTTCCTTATTTTGGTAGAACCGAGGCCTTTGAGTATGTTCTTGTCACCAAATTTGTTCCTGTCCTGTTTGTCCCCAAGCATGTGGCGGAACAGAATGTTCTTGTTCAGGCAGGTCTTAGCGTGTGACAAGTCCAGTTTCAACTTGGTGACTGCAGACTGCCGCACATTCTTTATGGCCGTGAGACGTCTCAGCTCCTCATCATTTGTAGTTCTTTCAACAAACTCATCCAGTGTTCTCTGGCGCTTCTTTTTGGGCTTGAAGTTGATTTGGTCTCCACCAATTGCAGATAGGTATAACTCGTAGTCTGAATAGTACGCTCTGTATGCACTCTGCTTTAGTCTTCTCGCGATTCCAGATGTGCACTCGTTAGCGGCAGATAAGACAATGTGGGTATAGAGTTCTTCGTCAACTGCGTAGCCTTCTCCTAGATAGAAGTTGAAGAAGGAATTGTAGACGCTCGCATCAAGGGCCATACTTTTCTTGTTATAGCCAGTGAAATGCCTTCCGCAGAGTCGACAGGGGTAGAGGACTGTGTCCAAGTACATGTTTCGCTGTACTCCAAAGAGAAGAATGGGGTTGTTGACCCAGCGGCGCTTGTTAACATCAACATAAGTGTCCTTCTTACAGTGCGGGCAGGTGGGAATGTGCCCCTTGAAGTGAAGATGAGGAACCCAAACAGCAATAGGTCTAACATAAAAGGAATTCACGCTAGACTTTTTTGCGTCCGAGTTCATGAGATTGCTGTTGAACCTCCCACCACCAGGCATTATCTTCCACCACTGATTTGCCTTGAAGAACTTGCGATGGTCATTGTCAACAGCAGCCCTTGTCTTCTTTATGAATGCTTCCTGCGCTGGGCCGAAGGGCCGTGGAGAAGAAGTAGCTGTTGGAGGAAACATACCTGACACCTCTTTACTATTGACTCGTGTATTAATCATCTAGTCCGGTTCGCATGTAAATTCATCATGCAAGGAACCAAGGGAGTTTTAGGTCTAAAGTGTTACGGGGGTCCTTATATCCAATTCAATCACAAGAATTGCTATGCACCACCAGAAAATCCTCACTTTTGCTTTTCAGCTTAATC